GCACACTCGGGTTTTTTTACAATCGGGTTTAAGTGTCTTTTATATTAAACCCGATCGTCTGAGATTGGGAGAAATCCGGTTTAATTGGTTCAAACAAAAAAAACCCGATGCCTGCCGCTGGAAAAATCGGGTTTTTTCCACCCATGGATGCAAGACCCTCCTGAAAAATGGAGTCTTGAGGTTGAGTCAGGTTTCTCTCGATGAATAAAAAGCATTATTATTATTCATCAGCCATGGTCAATCCACTGCTGGACGAAGACCTCTCCAAGTCACCACCACCATCATCATCATGATTCATAATAAAAGTTTTTTGGGTTAAAACGCGTTATTTATAAATGTGTCGTAACCCTCCACCACCCTACACGGCCAAACAGTAAAAAAATGTGTCACGTTGACAAAAGACAAATAGTTCACTACTTTAGCCCACCGGTGTGTTGAAGAGTGATTCAACATCATCATCATGATGATGATCATTAGCCAAGGCCTCCCCCAAGCTGCCACCCTCTCTCACGATCCAGCGATGTAACCACTCACCAGGCACCTGCTGCAGCAGATTTCATGGCTCCATCTCCTTGGTGGCTGTCGTCTCGGGCGCGTTCCGTCCCTTGGCTGCCACAACATCGCTGTCCTCAGCCGTGATGCATCATCTTTGTTATTGTTGTGGGGAAGTATGACTTCGCCTTGGACATGACGCGTAACAATAGGCACTGCTCCGTTGTTGTGTCTCCCATGGTGCTGTTGTGCATTCACATACTTGACTTTCATCAACAAAACATTTACATTTTTTTACTTTCTTAGTGTTTGATTTATTACGCATTGTCCACTAAAACCGCTGCTCTTGTGAATGTCAACACTGCTCATTTGTCAACTTCAAATATTTGACGCTTCCTTAAAGCCCCAGTTTTTAAATATGAATACGGTCGTTTCCTATAATAGTAGCTATTAAGTATAACAGACACACACTTCAATAGTCACGAAGCAGTATTACGAAATCAACTCATTTGTATTCAAAGTAACATTGTGGACTGTTGCGAGAGCGCATTGCGTTGGGGGAAGGTTTGTTGTCGAGAGTCCAAGCCGCAGCCCACTCGGCCATGCGTCCCTGGGCCCAAACACCACCACCGCTACCACCACCACCATCACCGCCACCGCCATCACCACCACCGCCACCACGACCGCCGCTACCACCACCGCCACCACCGCCATCACGACCGCCGCTACCACCACCGCCACCACCACCACCGCCACCACCACCGCCATCACCACCGCCGCTACCACCACCGCCACCACCCCTACCACAACCGCTATCATCACCGCCGCCACCGCCACCGCAATAAAAATAGAATCGACCTGCCCTCAATTCCTGATAGGGAGAAATCTGAAAAGTAAACCGACTGATTCACAGCCATGGGACTCAACATACAGAGAGAGATGTAAGGCTACGTTATTGACGAACGTGCTATGGTTTTTATTTTCGTAAGTTGTTATTTAACCAAATCATTTACGAAATGTATTGGCTACCTGTACACATCTCACTTTCTCTCTCTCTCTCGTCCTTTGTTATCTCCTTCCCCGGCACCTCCGATGGGCACGGTTGGCGACGTACAGTGCGAAAGAAGTTCAACACACACACACAAATCGCGACGCGTCCGGCAGGGTGCCCCCTCCAATGCACACCCGTGCATTTATGCTTCACGGCGCGGTCTCGTTTTTAGTTTTTATTCTCCTCCTCTTCAAAGCGCCGTGGAGTCGTGAAGACGCCCGCATCTGCAGGTTGCCAGCGGCTGAGCTCGTCAGCAGACACGTGACTTCAGGTGTCGTCAGTGCACAAGTCGGGCACTCGACTCGCGATTTAGCAGAATTACACCTCCAAGCTTCGCAACCAAAGGATTCCACTTGTGTTTTATATTAATTTAAATCTGCATCAATGTGTCTCGCTTTTGTGACACAATTATTACGTTGTGTGTGTGCGTGTATATATTGCGAGTGTGTGGATAATATTGCTGATGTTCATATCCACTGCTGGATGAATACGCCATATTATAATCCACCAGCCGCCGTATCGGTCACGCTTTGACCGCCGCTCGGTCCTGGCTCGGATATCACCCGCCGCTGGTGTCTGCCCGTGGCCGGGGATCGAACTCAGGCGGCGGCTGCGCTGGAGCAAATGCGCGTTCCACGGCAAACGCGTGTGGCTCGCAGCAGCCGCTGCGTGTAAGGTCCCCGGCAGTCAACGCTGTGCACTCGGTCACATGTCAATTGTCAGTTGCAACGGGCGTATAGGGGGTACAATTCTCAAATGTCATACTCTGTCCCGTTGTTCATTTATGCGTGAAGTTTTTTTCTGTGTCCATATTTTCCGTCGCAAAATGGGACGGCGTCGTCACCGGTGAATCGTTCCTGAAGTGGATGTGTGTTTAATTTTACGTGGAACTAGGAGCCATATCGTAAAGAGAGTTCTGGTCCTCGCCTCTAAGATTGGCAGTTCACCAGCACTGATTTAAGAATGCCTGACACTGCTGATGAGAGACTGAATGTCGAAAACCGGTCCAGAGATTTTGCTTGTGCTGAATCAATGCTGCTGAGATGACGCGCTCCCAGAAGGCCGTGCGGTTTGACGGGTTGCGTGTTTAGTTTTCGTGTCCTCCCGCACGGTTGGCTATGTACGGTGGGAAAGAAGTTACACCATATATGCATTCAAGAAATACTGGTTGATGTGGAGAGAGGGAGATGTGAAGGACATCTATTATTTGATCGTTTGATTTTGTTGTATAAAGTAGGGCTATTGATGCTGTAGGATTATTGATGACTATTGACCATATTAAAAAATCACCGCAGTATGCCTTCATGCATTTTCATTCCGTTAAGTATATTTTAGACCAGGTCGGAGTCCATTAAGGCCAGAAGTGTATTTCTCAGGGGAGACCTGGGGATAAATAAACAAATTGCAACACGAATTAAACAGGCCGGAGACATCGTGAACGTCAGAAGGGTGGTGGCGCAGTGGTTGACACTCGCCACTTACAGCAACAAGCCCCTGAGTTCGATCCCCGTTTCGTGCGCCTTTCGGCGTGGAGTTTGTATTTTTAAATCCTTTATATTAAGTTCGCGTGCTTGCGTGCTTGCTTGCTTGCTTAGGACCGTGCAAATCTTTCGGTCGTTTTTTAACCCACTTCCCGTGATCCAATCGAGCTGACATTTTCCACACATACTCGTTGTGCCAGACAATTATTGTTCGTGAAAAAAAATTCCCAAAATGTTACACTTTTTAGGCAAAAAAAAATTATTTTACATATATTCAAATAGAACACATTCATGGCTTTGGCTGAACGTCAGAGTGTAAGAGCCCAGAGCGTAACCCCTCCACAGGCCGTGGCGGAATAGCGCAGTTGGTAGCGCCCTCGCTTCCCATGCCAAAGGTCGCGGGATCGATCCCCGCGTCCTCCAAAGGCGAGTATATTTTTAAATCCTTTATATTAAGTTCGCTTGCTTGCTTAGGACCGTGCAAATCTTTCGCTCGTTTTTTAACCCACTTCCCGTGATCCAATCGAGCTGACATTTTCCACACAGACTCGTTGTGTGTGACAATTAATTTTCGTGAAAAAAATCCAAAATTTTACACTGTTTAGGGAAAACAAATTAAGTATTTAATTACCAATTGCTTAATGGTGGCAGACAATCATCTGACCCATAGGTGGCAGCCATCTCAAGCCAGAGGACGAGAGGACTCTAGCCGCCACGCATATAAAAGATTTATAGTGAAAAACTTTGTTTTTACGGGTTTACTTGTTAAATCCTTTATATTAAGTTCACTTGCTTGCTTGCGTGCTTACGATCGTGCAAATCTTTCGGTCGTTTTTTAACCCACTTCCCGTGATCCAATCGAGCTGACATTTTGCACACAGACTCGTTGTGCGTGACAATTTCTTTTCGTGAAATTTTTTTCTCCAAAATTTTACACTTTTTAGGTAATTTGGTTTTTTATTTAATTACCAATTGCTTAATGGTGGCATGCAATCATCTGACCCATAGGTGGCAGCCATCTCAAGCCAGAGGACGAGAGGACTCTAGCCGCCCGTTTCAAAGACCAATGTGGGCTGGGTTGTGGCCCATTGAACACGCATATAAAGGATTTATAGTGAAAAACTTTGTTTTTACGGGTTAATTTCCCCCCCCTCTTCTGCAGTGAGTGAGTGGAGTTTGTATGATCTCCCCCTGTTCTGCAGTGAGTGTAGTTTGTATGATCTCCCCCTGTACTACAGAGTGAGTGAGTGGAGTTTGTATGTTCTCCCCCTGTTCTGTATGGATTTCTTGCGGATCCTCCGGTTTTCCTCCCATAGCTTAAAAAAACTCTCCAATGTAACTGGCATTGACATTTTAAAAAATCATCCCAATGCTGAACACTGCAAATTACTCCATCGAGATTATACATCGCAGCAGTAGCAGCAGCAACATCAGCGCTCCCTGCTGCAAATAATTAACAGGATGCTCCCGAAAGAAAGAAAAGTATTACAAGTCAACGAAGCGTTTTAATTTGACAGCCAACTGGTTCCCCGTGCAATATATTCAAAACAAGTTACACACTCTAACGGCCATCACTGGGGTTTTTTTTACCTTCTTTCCCATGGCGTTAGAGAAAACGAAACGCAACCGGCTACTATTACGTATGCGTAACTCGGGGAGTGACTGCGCGTGCGTAACTCGGGGAGTGACTGCGCGTGCGTAATTCGGGGAGTGACTGTGCGTGCGTAACTCGGGGAGTGACTGCGCGTGCGTGCCTCGGTAACCTGGGATGCGCCTGCCTACGTGACTCGCCGCTATCAACCAAACGGCGGAGCAGCAACACAAAATAAACCTCCTAACATTGTTTGGGGGTAGACGCGGGGGTGGGTAGGTGGGTGGGTGGGGGCGAGGTGGAGGGGGGAGGGTCAGGGTAGGGGGGGGGTATTGGTTATTTTTTTGGCCAGGAGGCTCCTCGGCAGAAGCCACGCGTGTCGTCTTCGCGGACTCGCCTATATAAGGGGAACACATTCGCTTGTGGAGCCGCAGCCTCTCTCTCTCCTCTTCTCTGTGCCTCTTCAATTCGTGCCGTTCCAAAGTCTCCGCAGCAGCAGCAGCAGCAGTCATGAGTGCCATCGTGGACAGCGGCAGCGCCCCGGCTCTGAGTGGAGACGAGAAGGCGGCCATCAAGAGCACGTGGCCCTCCGTGAACGCCAAGGCCGAGGACGTCGGCGCAGAGATGCTGGCCAGGTGAGGCGGTCGCTGCCCGGGGCGGCCGGGCGGGCAACGATCGATAACGGATTCGAATGTCCACCCCGAGGTTTGTCGTTTTTCCTTGCGTCGTCATCGATACGGATTTGAATGTCCACCCCGAGGTTTGTCGTTTTTCCTTGCGTCGTCATCGATACGGATTCGAATGTCCACCCCGAGGTTCGTCGTTTTTCCTTGCGTCGTCATCGATACGGATTCGAATGTCCACCCCGAGGTTCGTCGTTTTTCCTTGCGTCGTCATCAATACGGATTCGAATGTCCACCCCGAGGTTCGTCGTTTTTCCTTGCGTCGTCATCGATACAGATTCGAATGTCCACCCCGAGGTTCGTCGTTTTTCCTTGCGTCGTCATCGATACGGATTCGAATGTCCACCCCGAGGTTCGTCGTTTTTCATTGCGTCGTCATCGATACGGATTCGAATGTCCACCCCGAGGTTCGTCGTTTTTCATTGCGTCGTCATCGATACGGATTCGAATGTCCACCCCGAGGTTCGTCGTTTTTCATTGCGTCGTCATCGATACGGATTCGAATGTCCACCCCGAGGTTCGTCGTTTTTCCTTGCGTCGTCATCGATGCGGCTTCGAATTGTCCACAATGAGCATCGTCCTTCTTCTTTGTGCCGTAATAATCGTCATCGTCGTCGTGCGTATTCTACGCAGACAATTCGAATGCAAACGCGTCTAAGGTGTCTTCGTGTTCGAAAGAGAGAGGGGAAAAAACCGATGGCCTTTCGTGTTGTTGCTGTTTTACGCTGTTGTGCATTGTTCGTGTAATGCGATGCCCGCGCTTTGAGAATGCTGGCACTTAGGGACCTGGTTTGTCCTTTGAGTTTTTTTTTATATTTATCTATTACTCATATCCCCCTAGGCAGTGAGCGCTCACGTGGTTGAAATAGGGGCACTTAATCAGCCATCATCATGCAGGCGAAGTCGTGTCCGTCACGGGCGCTATTCACTCCTCAAGCTCACGAATCGTGGCCTCCGCGCGGTCTGTCCTTCATGGCTTAGCACTCGGCATGAAGTGCCCTCATTTGATTGTGGAGTGGCATCTCTTGTGGACGTGCAGAGAGGGGGGCACGGGGAGAGGCGAGAAGCCCACGAATAACTCAGCATCCCCGATAACCCAAATATTCCAAACCGCGTGTCAAACATTAAAGTTCGGATTTTCGGTCTGCTACCGTCACTTCATTTTTGTTTACGTTTAATGTAATCATCATTCGCGTGCGTGTCTGCTATTGACGGTCTTGTATTTGCATCACGGCTGCGTTGTTGAGTCGATGACCCCCGACTGTCTGCTGAGATTTACAATCCCCGCGTCAGCCGTGTGCTTGTCAGAATGAGAGTCTTTATTTTGACGGCAGGAGGAATCCGATCAATCGCAAAGCTCTTCATTGTTTTTCTCACAGGTACCCAGTACGTGGTTAGAGCCTTCGGTTCAGCATTGGTGGGAGGGTGAGGGGGGGGTACACAGGGATCCGCAGTCTCCATGTGACCTCTCCCTGGTTCGCCAGACGTCAACACCCAGAGCCGGACTAAGCTAATGCGGAGCCTGTAGCAGACATTATAAAGGGGCCCTAAATAAATAAATAAAACCACGTAAATATTAAAACACGTAAATTATTAACTTGCATAGTAAAGTAATTGTATTTTTTCATTTGCTATGCATCCAGATAATACGACAAATCGCTAACCTTCTTAAACACCCAGTCGTTCGTAAAAGTTGAAGGCAGTATAGTACTATAGTAATAGAGCAAGTGCAGAATCACTGAACCGGAATTGATAGCTTGAATGCATTTCGCGCGGGTCCCTTGAAAGTGCGGGGCCCGTAGCTACTACATGTGTAGCTACTACATATGCAGCCGCTACATATGCAGTAGCTGCATGTGTAGCTACTTTTGCTACGTGGATAATCCGCCACTGGTCAACACTGGCCCCGCCAGATACCCACCCTCTCCAGGGGCACTCTCTCTCTCCCGGGTCCCCTGCCCACAGCAGCAGCCGAGCGAGCGCTGATGGTGGCCCGCTCTCGTTCACTTACTGAACCAAACCGTTTTGTTTTCTTTCATTTAACCGCTGAGCTGCATAGCTCTAGTTGAGAAGCGACCAGGCTATCTCGCAGTTGATCAGAGGCTCAACGGAAGCGGACGTTTATAGCAGCCGAATAATCTAAAGAGAAACGTTGATTCTAAATGTGGAGGGGGGGGGGGGGGAAGCCGTAGGACTCGGAGACAAAATCCACGCGACCACGAGAGGAGAGATTGCAAACTCCACATATACAGCCGGCGTCGGGGTCGGGATCGGGATCGAACCCACAACCTCCTGCACACCAGGCGAGGTAGTTAATACCTCCTAGCCACCACGGCGCCCTAACCAACATCGCCGCTGCCACCATCACCACCACCACCATCATCATTGCAGATTCATCAGCAGCAACGGGGACGTGAAGAAGTACTTCCCCAAGTTCAAGGACATCTCGTCGCAGGCCGAGCTCAAGTCGTCGGCCAAGGTGCGCGACCACGCCAAACGCATCATGGCCTTCGTCAACGACCTCGTGGACAACATCGACAACCCCGGCGCGCAGACCGCCAAGCTGCACTCGCTGAGCGCCGAGCACGCGGAGAAGTTCAAGGTGGACCCGCAGTACTTCAAGGTGCGCACTCGCTCCTGCCGCACGCTGCTCCGCGCGAACAAAACCGCACACCGGAACCCTGCACGCTGCGCCCCGCAAACTCGGCCCTTGCACCCCGCCACACTGCACCCCAAACACACCGCACACTGCACCCAAAACACACCGCACACTGCACACCGCACAATGCACACCGCACACTGCGCCACACTGCACTACAAACACACCGCACACTGCACACCGCACAATACACACCGCACACCGAACCCAAAACACACCCCACAATGCACACTGGACCCTGCACCCCACCACACTGCACTCTGGACCCTGCACACTGCACTATGCACACTGCACCCTGCACCCCAAACACACCGCACTCTGCATACCGGACCCTGCACGCTGCACCCTGCACACCGCACGTGCACTCTGCACGCTGAGCCCCAAACACACTGCACTATGCACACCGCACACCACACCCCGAACCCAAAACACACCGCACTCTGCACTCTGCACCCTGCACGCTGCACCCTGCTCGCTGCACCTTGCACACCGCACGTGCACTCTGCACGCTGAGCCCTGCACTCTGGACCCTGCAACGCGCACACTGCTGAAATCGCCGGATCGCATTTGACAAAACAAAAAAACACTTTGTCGACCAAAATGTTTCGTCACTAATTTCGTGAACAAAATTGAACACTAGAAGAAATACCCTGGGGAATATATATATATAACTAAATTACGTGAAACGTGCACAGCATTTGGTGTGGACCAATCAGTCTCAAGGACAATGCATATATTATCATAGTGTTTTTTTTGTTTGCATTTGACTGCAAGTATTGTGGTTAATGCAGACATGAATCCTTGTAAAAAGGTTTCAGTTTTGTTGCCAGAAAAAAGGGGAAAACCCTATTATTAACATATAAATGTTCTGTCTGATATTGAAACACGGCTGATAGTGTTCGTTGAGATAAAACAAATTTAGTTTTGTTTGTTGTTGCTGTGGCAGCGTGGAGCTGTAAAACGTGTTATTGTGTCTGCACAGACATATTTATATATGTAATATGGGTGCTTGCACTGGGGGCAATCTCGTTAAACTAAGATCGTGATCGGGTAACGACGTCTGTGCATCCTCCTACCAACACCGCGAAGTGATTTGGATGCCACCCCGCGGCCCATTTGTGCAGATCCCGTAGACAGTAAAACCCTTACCCCCCCCCTGCCCAGCAAGCCACCCAAGTACGATTACCGAATCATCTGCATTGTAAGGCGCTGTGCAAAGTAAGACAGATCCCACACCGTCAGTTTGGTGGACGCATTTAAAGTTGTTTTGTGGGTTTTCTTTTTGCTCTGCGATGCTACAGCGCCTTGTGACCCGCGGGTAAAATTATTAAACAAATATGGTCAGTCTTACATTAAAATACGGTGGGGGGGGGGGGGTGTTGGGTCTTATAATCTGGAGAATAAGGAAACACGGGAACACGTGCTTGCTGGCGGTGAGCCGCACGTTCGTCAAGGCGTCAAACTGGACGTGAGACATCAACATCACGGTCCCACCCTGACCCTCATCCTGACCCCGACCCTAGCCGTGACCCTAGCCGTGACCCCAGCCCTGACCCTCACCCAACGCGGGCCAATGGCTTCACGGAGCCAGGCGGCTACTACGCGAGCGGGCGGCTGTGCGGCCCCTGTGTGCACCCCGCGTGTGCGGCGGCCCTGACCGCGGCCCGCTGCTCCCCTTGCTCGCAGGTCATCTCCAACGTGCTGCTCGACATCCTGGGCGAGACCTTCGGCGCCAGCTTCAGCGGCGCCACTCGCTCGGCCTGGATCAAGCTCCTGAGCATCATCTGCATTGGGCTGCGCTCGGCTTTCTAAGCGGGCGCTCCCCCCTACTACCCCCCCCCCGCTTGACCCCCTCCCTTCCCCCACCCATCAACCCCCTCCCCCCACTCCGTACTCTGCGGGTTAACTCGGCGGCACAGCTTTGGGGAAGGGGGGCAGAGCGAACGGTGGTAACATTGAAACGATCGTAGCGACGAAGAGCGGTGCGTGGGGTTTGTCCCGCCGTCGCGCGATGAGTTCTCGAGATTCGCGAAATCGTTGTGGCGGTGTTGTTGTTTTGTTTGATGTCGTTCGGCACCACATTGTAGATCCTGCTGAGCTTAAACGTCGCGGCGATGAAACGCGGCAACGCATCGGAGGGCGCGACCGTGGCACCAGCGGCCCGCCCGCGCGCGCAATTAAGTTTTGGCGGAAATAAAGTTGATTCAAGAAAGTTAACGAAATGAAGTCGATACAATAAAGGTGTAGCCCGCTTAGCGGAGGTGTCGCTCAATGCCGCCGCAGTCGCTCACCGCAGGGGGTTGCCGTCGGCAACAAAACAACAACAGAGAGACAACACCCGCGCCGTGGCCACGCCGCAATTTCTTAAAAAACAAATGAAAATCAACGTGGAAATGAAATCGCTTTGCTCGTTCATCCCCCCCCGACTCCAAATGTTGTGACGTCGCCGCATAGGATTGGTGAGACGGCGGTGGCGATGTCGACGATTCAACATCGCGCCAGTCGCTTCTTCTCACACGGGGCGGCCCATGACCCCGAATGTATTCGTTTCAGTCTCCGATTTGTCGCTTAAATAAAGAAGTAGGAAAGATGACGTTACTCTGTCACCGGTTATCCGCGACAGGTGCTGATTTGGGAACTTGGCACGCGTAAAAAAATGTTCAGCGTTAAGCGAGAATTTCCGTCCCTTGAATAATTGTGATATTGCCCAATTCATTCCATACACCTTATAGAGCCACGCACTACACAAGTCATATGCTTAAGCATGCTTTCATTATATTTTTGTACGCTAGTGATCCATGTCTATATCGGCTAAACATTCCTAGAAATGCCCGCTTAAGGCGTCGCCTTCTGCGTTGGTAAACTCACACACACGACGGTTGGATGAACGGAACAAATTCGCTTCAAATGCGCCCGACGGTGGCTCTCAGAGCCGCGTACACTATCCCCGGCGCCGCTGCGTGTTTTCGTGACTGCGCCCACCGAGACAGCCGCTGTTTCGTGGGGCGATGCTGCGGAGCGGGGCTCCCGTCAGGTTCCTGAGCGGGCATCCTGACTCGCCCCCCCACCCCCTCCCGCCCTGGCCGTCTCTCAGCTCACCAATTAAAGTGGCCGTCTCTTAGCTCACCAATTAAAGCGGCCGTCTGCGGTCACAGCACCTCCCACGGTGTCTCAGCTACCTCATTGTTGTGGCATTTTTTAAATCAGGAAATTCATGTGGGGGGGCATTTCTTCTTCCCGAGCCTGTGGGGCAGAGTTGTTGGCAGACTCCAGTCCTCGTGACCCCCCCCCCCCCCCATTCAAAGGCCATCCACGATTCCGTCTTTCCGCCTTTTTTGCCAATTTACTCCTCGAATGCAAATCCGGCATTTCCACGTTGCACGCGCGCGATGATTGTTTAGCCTTAACAGACTGTTGGGGCGCGCGGGTGTGTGAACACACACACGCGCGCGCACACTGCGATCCCAATCTTCATTTGAATCGGCTCTATTTAGGCAGACAGCGATAATCTCTGAACGCGTCACGTAGGACGTGTTTAGCAATCATCTGGCGCGTGCAGCGTGGGGCGAGTTCATTTGTATTTGAATGGGGGGTGGGGTGGGGGGGGCAATAAATCGGTGAACGCGGGAAGACAGCGCGTGGTGGTGGTGGTGGGTCACCGGGAACGAAGTGTGGGGCAGTCTGCTATGGGTTATATTCTCATCTTGACGGCAGTTCATTTTGTCAACATTGCTTTTTGTTTTTGCCGAAACTTGCGTATGTCTCCATCATTGAACACGGGGGGGGGGGGGGCGATGGTGATATTGATACATCCACCAGACTGACGGCATACTTACTGCCCGTCCGTGTCGTAAGACGTCCTCTCTTAAAGTGTAACGTGAAACGGGGCGATTCGAAGGCCAGTCGTCTTGACCCACGCCGCGGGCTTCCACGCGTTCGCGGCCATGTCGCCAGCGTCGCCGCGTGCACCTCTGGGCCAATCAGGGACGAGCTACCGCAGAGCAACGGCTCGGCCAATCACGGCACCGCGCCTCCGTGGGCAAGCACATCGATTAGAGAGTAGAACCACTCAATGCCCCGGCAAAGTATAAGACAACACAACGCTTGCTTTGTTTATTTGTTTAACCTCTACCGGTCCGTAGTGTCCTTTTTTACGGCATTCATGGGGGGAGGAGTGGGATTTAAAAAGAAATAAAGCACAAAATGACACGAAGCAATTCCTACTCGGCGATTGTAATCCCACAGGCGGGTGTTGGGTGGTGGAGATGTGGAGTGGTGCAGTGTGCATCCCGTGGCATGTGCGTAACGGGTGGCTTCTTCTTGAATGCGGTGTTTTGATTTTTTTAAAATAATAAATTCGGTCATCCGGGGCGTCAGCACGACACGGGGGTAATAGGAGTAATCGTACCCACTCTCCAGAAGCCACGCCATGATTATGCCACCACTGCCCAACACCGCAACATTGCCAAATAACGTGTCCACTAAAGATGAGACACCTGGCTGAGTTTTAACGTCACGATTCAAACTGAGACTCGCGGAGTTCATCCGATGGTAACTCTGCATTTTATGACGCATTTAATCCGGTGTGCATTTTTCAAAGTCACCATCCGTACAGAGTGGGGTTTTTTGTGTATTTTTACTCGCTGTGACAATGTACTCACAATGATGGCCATTATACTTAGACATTTACGTCTCCTTTTTTAAAATATCATATTGCTAGTACAGTAGTTACTCGTAGAAATGGTAAAACGTTTTTTACACGAATTTACCTTCTTTTTTTAATCCTCAGCATTATCTGCAGACGTACGAGACAAAAATCAAATGTCCCTACGGTTTGTTTTTTTGCAGTCGAATGAATTTAATATCACGCCAATATCGCGAGCGCAAATATAACCGATGGTTTTTGTGCGCGACGCACACACTTGCCGAGACGAATTACGAATCACGCGGTGTGTAATCTATCACGCGTCGAATTCTATACGGACTGCACTACACTACACACACATCCAACACACACACACACATCCAATACACACATCAAACACACAAACACACATCCAACACACACACACATCCAACACGTGCGCGCGCACACACGCACGCACGCGCACTTCCATCAAAATCATCGTCATCGTCAAATCCATTTTCAGTCCACTGTTGGATGAAGGTATTTTAGGGTTCGCATCTGAAAGGCGGACAGCCCGTTCCTGTTGCCTAAGCGGCGAGTTTCAGGACTCGGGGGAACTTTGCGACTGCTGTGAGCCAACTTCGCTCCGGGGGCTCGCGATGGTCTCATTCTATCGGGTTCATTGTCCGGCTGGCCTCCAAGTGTAATAATATACACGCAAGTACACGCGCATTGGTATGCTGTGTTGTTTACTGACACACACGATACACACACACACACACGCGCACGACAGATACGGGAATATGTGTACGCGGAGAAATGTAAACCGGCATTTGGTCGTTGAAAGGCAGACAAACAATACTCTACTCATCGTCGTTCGCAAGGTGCACGTTGGGCAAACAGTTTGCGTTGGGCTCATCCAGCAAGCCGAGGTCTCGTCCATTCACTGGACGCATCTGGCTGGGCCCAGCGAAACGTGGTGGCTCGCTCAGGTGAAAGGCTGCCGCCTAGAATGCATAGTCCATACATTTGTAACCTTAGCAAGACATTTTTAACAAAGTAAGATCAGGGAATTAACATAATCCTATACTTTTTTTTTATAACCTCTAGCAGTTATGATTATAGTCGTATATAAGCATTAACGCACGCACACTCACTCGTACTTGCTTCACGTGGCACATTGGCTCACAGACGTACACACACACATTCATTCAAGCGACACACACATTCATTTAAGCGACACACACATTCATTAATTCAAGCGACACACACACATTCATTAATTCAAGCGACACACACACACATTCATTCTTTCAAACGAGTTCAAAACTGGGGGAAATTTGTCCTCGAGACGGCGAAGAAGAATGTGCGTGCAGCGTGTACGGTGCAGTGTGCAGGGTGCAGTGTGCAGGATGCAGTGTGCAGGGTGCAGTGTGCAGGGTGCAGGGTGCAGTGTGCAGGGTACAGTGTGCAGTGTGCTGTGTGCAGTGTGCAGGTGCAGGGTGGAGCGTGCACGGTGCAGTGTGCAGGGTGCAGTGTGCAGGGTGCAATGTGCAGGGTGCAGTGTGCAGGGTGCAGTGTGCAGGGTGCAGGAGGCCACTAGCGGCCCTCTGTGGCCTTTAGTGGCCCTCTGGTGGCCTTTGTGCGGCCCCTGACGATACACAAAGAGTGAGAACACCCCCAGCACCATCACCATCATCATCACCGTGCTGCTGTCAAACTCCCCACTGAGCTCGAACGTGTGGCGGCTCTCACACAGTGACGATGCCTTATCGGTGAAAGTGCCCCCCCCGCCCCCTCTGAGAATGAGTGAAGAACACTGCCGGCCTCGGTGATGGCACGAGCCGCTGCTGTCAGATTTGCAGGACGACTGCGGTCCCTGCGGTCACTGCGGTCACGCACGGGGGCTCTGCTCCCGTCCGCACTCGTAGGTCCACCAACAGTCATGCACACTCACACACTCACTCACACACTCACTCACACACTCACACACTCACTCACACACTCACTCACACACTCACACGCTCACTCACACACTCACACACTCACTCACACACTCACACACTCACACACTCACACACACACTCACACGCTCACTCACACACTCACTCACACACTCACACACTCACTCACACACTCACACACTCACTCACACACTCACACACACACACACTCACACACTCACACACACACTCACACACTCACACACTCACTCACACACTCACACACTCACTCACACACTCACACACTCACACACTCACACACACACTCACACACTCACTCACACACTCACACACTCACACACTCACTCACACACTCACACTCACACACACACTCACTCACACACTCATTCACACACTCACACACTCACACACTCACTCACACACTCACTCACACACACACACTCACACACTCACTCACACACTCACACACTCACACACACACTCACACACTCACTCACACACTCACTCACACACTCACACACTCACTCACACACTCACTCACACACTCACTCACACACTCACTCACACACTCACACACTCACACACATACTCACACACTCACACACACACTCACACGCTCACTCACACACTCACTCACACACTCACTCACACACTCACACACTCACTCACACACTCACTCACACACTCACACACTCACTCACACACTCACACACTCACACACACACTCACACACTCACTCACACACTCACTCACACACTCACACACACACTCACACACTCACTCACACACTCACACACACACTCACACACTCACTCACTCACTCACACACTCACACACACACTCACACACTCACTCACACACTCACTCACACACTCACACACTCACTCACACACTCACACACTCACACACACACTCACACGCTCACTCACACACTCACACACACACTAACTTACTCACACACTCACTCACACACTCACTAACACACATACTCACACACTCACTCACTTGCTCACTCACACGCTCACTCACTCATTCACGCACTCACTCACACGCTCACTCACACGCCCACTCACTCATTCACGCACTCACTCACTCACACACTCACTCACACACTCACTCACACACTCACTCACACACTCACACACATACTTACACACTCACTCACACACTCACTCACACGCTCACTCACGCACTCACTCACTCACTCACACGCTCACCCACCCTCACTCAAGAGGGCATTACCTTTCCCGCCTGGATCCCTTGCCTGACATCACAATCCGGCTCTATTGCTTGCGGTGATGCACATGCAACCTGGGGGCTGTCCAACCTACAACAACGAACGCATCATCGACCTCAGCGCTTGATGCGCATCGCTTGAATTAATTGTAATTTCAAATTTGTATTATCATCAGTTTTTTTTAAATGGGAACACTTCCTAGACCAGCGATTGTGTCCCACCTCAAGCAATGGGGGGCCCACGAGGCGATGCCACTTCTAGATGGCAACGTCTGCCGCAGTTGTGCCGCAGTTGTGCCGCAGTTGTGCCGCAGTTGTGCCGCAGTTGTGCGGCGCTCAGAACGCGTCTTCGGGTCGTCGGGCACGCGGTGTCCGAAATTTCGTCTCACTTGCCGGGAGCTCTAACGGCGTCGATTCTGTCCCGTTCAACGTGAAAACACGCCGGTGGAAAACGGCGCGGGGCAATTTTCAGAGGGGAGGCGAACGCGGACGGCACCGTTCGACTCGTAGGCCGGGCGAGCCATCATCTCGTGCCGTGGCTTCTGTCGGGTATTCGTTGAAGCATCGGAACGAGTGTCGAGGCCCAGAGAACGTACGCGTGGCCGTGGTGATATCGTGACCCTCACTTCTACTCACAGCGCACGCGGGCCCTTTGGGAAGACAATTAATGCGTTCACCGCACCGTGTTATGCTCCACAGATATGAGCAATAAAGATGATTAAAATGTGTTGGTGTCAATTGTCACTGATTGAGCGTACACATCGACCACGAGTTGTTTTTCTCACGCTCAAACAAAAACTACGAATGTTCGGTCCCGCGGTGTCCTCAAAGGCTGTACGCGATTAAAATAAAACTGCTGTGACGTTGAGGAGTGGTGGCGCAGCGCAGCGCCGCTGTGAGACCCGGACAGCCGAGTTCGATTACCCCCCCACGGCCAACGTGAGAGGCGAGTGAGAATGTGATTCGGTCCCTGACTCCCTCTTCGCCAAACAACCAACCACGACCAATGGTGTTGGAGACCTTCATCCAACAGTTGATTGGCCATATAAGAGCCATATAAGGTGCCATTGTCCCAGAGTGCTGCCCTGCAATACAATCACAGGTCACGTGCGAAGCCACAACCGCTCGGCTTCACCACCCGGGGAAGTCCTCTGGTTGGTGAAGGGGAGAGACGACAGCGCGTCACTCACCACTGATGTTAGCCGTCGGTTAGGAATCGAACTCAGTTCGCCCGATTTATAGTGCAGTGTGCGAACCACTACGCCGCTACTGCCCTTCCCCCCATGCCCTCATCAAAAAAAATTGCAATGCATATTGTGAAAAATTATTTCGTCTGTATTGCTTGTGCCGACAGGGTGTGGAAATCCCTTGGCATTGCAGTTAGTTGATGGAGCGGAGATAGTGTGGGTGTGGCAATGCCTGCCAGACTGCACTACTCGGCCACCTAAACTGTGATAAGAATGTGCGCGTGCGTGCGTATTCGCCCTACCCACAGAGGTGGCCGGGCGTGGTGCTGGTCACCCAACCCCTCGTGCACCGTTTCGGCCTTCATAGGTGCTGCTCGCTAACAGCACGGGGGGATAGTTGCCTTTGTATTCCTTCCGTGTCTTGGTTGTTGGTGTCGTCTACTTTTAATAAGATCGACCAAACATTCCTGTGTCGACTGCGAAAGATCGTCACGACTCGGCTGACAGCCACTGCGGTCATCCGAGCTGTCACGAGCCGAGGCCCGCATATAAAACGTGGTTAACAAGTATAACCCATAAAAACAAAGTTTTTTACTATAAATCCTTTATATGCGTGGCGTCCTCTGGCTTGAGATGGCTGCCACCTATGGGTCAGATGATTGCATGGCAGCATTAAGCAATTGGTAATTAAATATTATATTTTTGTCCTAAAAAGTGTAAAATTTTGGAATTTTTTTTCACGAAAATTAATTGTCACGCACAACGAGTCTGTGTGGAAAATGTCAGCTCGATTGGATCACGGGAAGTGGTTTAAAAAACGACCGAAAGATTTGCACGGTCCTAAGCAAGCAAGCAAGTGAACTTAATATAAAGGATTTAAAAATAACAGCGATCGTAAGAATAATCATCATCCTCATCATACTACACCATTTAAAAAAAACGGAAACAGCCACGGTGAGATGTACATGAAGGCAGTGTAACTGATATGTGTGATATGTAAGATATAACAAGGGAAGTCGAACAAGGTGAAACGCTTTCGTCAAGTTATTTCCAACGGCGTTCGATGTTTTTTCACTTTGGTTCCAAAATATGTTTTATTTTTTAATTGGAGAAATCAAGGCGGAAGAGTTCGCGGATAATACGTTAGAGTATAAGCGAGTCACAGTTGGCTGATTTACACTGCCGCCATACACTCGACTATTTCGTTTAATTTTTATTTGACCAGGTGTAGGCCCACTGAGCTACGTAGCTACCTGGCCACGAATGATAGCTCAACGAAGTGGCGTGTCGTCATCATCACCATCACGTGATCACCACGTGGAAATGTATCGCAGCCAAATACTCTAAACGCGTGCTACTGAATGTGGAGGGAGAAACGACACGATCCGGAGAAAAATCCACGCGATCACGGAGAGAGAGACGCAAGCTCCAAATATACAGCAGGTGTTAGGGTCAGGATCGAATCCACGACCTCCTGTATACCAGGCGAGGTAGTTCACTGGAGCGATGCGCTTTAACATCTAGATGGAAAGATAATTTCTTTAGAACTTGATTTTGCGTTTAGTTTGTTTTCCTCCCCCGCACCTCCGATTATCGCGGTTGGCTACGTACGGTGCGAAAGAAATGCAACATACGTACATACATATATACAAGGTCGCACCTCCTCATTGTGACATTCCTCCACCTCCTCGACGACACTGGTGGTGTAACCACGAACCGCATCATCAGAACATCATCAGAACATCATCATCATCATCAGAACATCATCAGAACATCATCAGAACATCATCATCATCAGAACACCATCAGAACATCATCAGAACATCATCAGAACATCATCAGGCCGATACGCACCGCATTTCCTTCATGGATGGGAATTTTTATTTTTTTAAAGACGCAAGCCACTGGAGTGCGACTGTGACCACGCGACCCAAACTACGTGTTGGACTTCTCTCGCACCGTACGTAGCCAACCGTGCCCGTCGGTGGTGCCGTGCAGATGGAGAGGTGAAATGCACGCAGGACGGTGACGAGCGGCAGCGACGGACTTGCGGAAGGCCTTCGTCCAGTAGTGGAATTGTTTCCACTCGTTAGCAGTGGAAACAATTCCATCGACCTGATTCGTACCTTAATGGGATACAACGTGGAATTCGCCTGATGCTATCGATGCCAATGATCGCTGAAGCTCGAACCACACAAAATGTCGCGAAACAATGAAAGTTGCACATTGTTGGCATTCGTCCACACAATCTCCACGCGCGCTTTCTCAACTTGGAGACGGTTGAGAAATATAATTCCCCCCCCCCCCTCGTCTCACAATGTCCTAGGCCCGAATGTATGAACAGACAGAGATGACGATGATTATATATATAAGGGGGGCGGCAGTGTCCCCGTGGGGAGATACCGGAGGTGTTCCTCAGACCGTCTCTACTCGCCGAGTCCACCTCGCGCGCGCGTCGCTTCCTTCGCGGACATTCCCCATCAGCCGGCAACCATGCCCATCGAAGACTCGGGGAGCAAGCCGGACTTCTCGGACGACGAGAAGAAGGCCATCAAGGACTCGTGGAGTGGCGTCTACTCCGAATACGAGTCGACGAGCTCCGAGATTCTCATCAAGTAAGCGCAAACACTCTCGCACCTTCCGCAAGCGCGGAGCCGTCGGACTGTTTGTGATGTGCGCGGGAGGAATCCGAGGGGGGCTCCACGGTCGTTGTTTTTGCTCGCACGTGTTCAGTACAGGGGGCGGGTCGGGACGTTATTACAACACGATCGGAGTGAACACTTTCGGAAAGGCAAGCACATCGCTTAATATACAAATTAAACTACGCATATTTTTGAAAAAAAATATTGCCAAAGAAAAGTTCAATGACATATATTAGTCTTCTTGGTTCTTTCGGTAAAGTCACGTAGAATGGAAATGCATTCTACGTGACTTTACCGAAAGAACCAAGAAGATGAATCCCTGCAGTCACGAAAGCTTTACATCGAGACATATATTAGCTTCTTTATCAGAAGCGACCTGGCCACAAATCAAAACTCAAACGAAGTGGCTCATCACGTGGACATTTACAGCGTCAGGATGATTTCGTTGATTTTTTTTGTCGACGTCGATTCTAAATGTCGGAGCCGAGTGTCCCCTGGCGGAGTGCGCGCTCCAGGAGGTGTTGGCGGTTCGCGTCGTCCACGAGACGGCCGCTGGCTTTGGTGGAGGCGCGCAAGAGGGCACCACAGCTCGATCTGAGAGCGAAACAGGAGGAGGAGGGTTTCTCCACAATCTTGTGGCTGTCGCCTGACGACGCTGCTTGCAATTACCGGCGAAACGTCGTACTCGAATTTCAAATTCCGTGGCTTTGATCTCCGACGCACTGGTTAGTGCTGTACCGGTAGCGAATTGGCACGTTCTGTTTACGCGACAAATCCTCGCTGATTGGCTGTGTCGGGTGGTGGCGGGTTTTACGACGCACGCACACATTGACGTGATCCAACCGCAAACGACACCTCCTCCATCGCGGAGTACCTATCTCCTTGCCACAGCTGTGGCCGCTTAAGCCGCGCGCCTCGCGAGGGAAGCCGGCAAATCGCCAGGGAGGGCTGAAGCCCTGGAAGGTGTCCGCAGAGAGGCGGCATGCACGCGTTGACGAGAGCGACCGCGACTCGGCGGGAGGTTTGAGCTGCGTGGCTAAATGTTGGGGGGAAGTGGGGGGTGGTGGTGGGTGGTAGGAGGGTGGTTGGAGGGTGGTGGGGGGTGGTGGGGGGGGGGGTGGTGGGTGGTAGGGGGTGGTTGGAGGGTGGTGGGGGGTGGTGGGGGTGGTGGTGGGTGGTAGGGGGGTGGTGGGGGTGGTGGGTGTGGTCGGGGGGTGGTGTAGGGTGGTGGGGGGTGATGGGGGTGGTTGGGGGGTGGTGGGGTGGTGGAGAGGTGGTGGGTGGGTGGGTGTTGGGGGGGTGGTGGGGGGGTAATGGGGGGGTAGTGGGGGGGTGATGGGGGGTGGTTGGGGGGTGATGGGGTGGTGGGGAGTGGTGGGTGGGGGGGTGGTGGGGGGGATGCTTTCTGTGACGCGCGAGAGAAGGTGACGGACGTATTCGCAGCCGTCGCGGTTGAGTCTTGGGCGAACGAAGAATCTCGATTCGTGTGATCGGTGGAGTTGTTGTTGTTGTCGACGCGATGTCGAGACGCGCGGAGGCTGAGAGAGCCGGGACTGGCGCGATACACTCGGAGCAATGCGCAGAGTGCGGTGTCTGTATACCCAGCTCAGGCTGTTGTGTAATCACAATGCTTCATCCACGGTATTACGGTGCCTTTAATCTTCTTCTTAGCAGCGGTCAATGGCGTGGCCGTCGAGTTTGCCCTTAATCTGCACCGAGCACGTGCCGCACGCGTCTTACACAGAGCGAGCTTCTCCTCCTGCGCGCGTGGAGATTCGTTGGGGCCGCATCGCAACACGTGACTTGCCCCGGGTGCAGTAGGGGGACTATGGTCATCCGTGGGGCCTCGATGAGTTTCTTCTTATTTATTTTCTTTATCTTCTTTTTCTCCTCTTTGTATCTTCTTATTCTTTATCTTTTTCGTCTTTTTCTTTTTTATCTTCTTCTTATTGTTTTCTTTATCTTCTTCGTCATTTCTTCTTGATCCTCTCCTCCTTTTCCTCCTTCTTCTTCTTGACGAACGCACATCGAGGTGGATTGGCAAGGCAGCTGCGTCAGGAGCAGCCGAGCGGATCGCCGTGATTGTGACACCGCCGCGGACTTCGAATCGATAAAAAAAAATAACCACGCTGCACCGTTCTGTTCTCCAGCGCACACTGCCGGCAGATATTTGAATGTCGCGTTCTTTAACAACGGCTGGTAACCACGTGGAACAACGTGCCATTTGCACGAGTCAATATTCTGGATCCGGTATGGACGTAGTCAATTCTCGATACTGCAAATGTGCCGTGATTTCATTCGTTTTGTCGTTCTCATATCATGGAGAGCGGTGGTGCAGTAGTTGGCAGGCCGCGCTGTGAACCCCGTCACCTGAATCTTGATTTGAAGCTTTCGTGACTGCAGGTATCCATACTTTTTGGTTCTTTCGGTAAAGTCACGTGGATAGAAAAAAAAATCACGACGTTTCGATGGCAACACAAGCGGCCGTCCTCAGGGGGAAAAAATATAATCCAGCAGTGAAACTGCTGAACCAACGAATTCGATCCCCCGGCGATGGCTCACATCCGTGGCGAGTGCTACCGGGTCACTGTTCACCACCGATAAAGCTGAATAGAAAACTCGTTCCTTTAGAACTGCTTCATGCGTTCAGTCGGTTGTCCTTCGCCAGCATCTTTTTGTTTTTTTCGGTAAAGTCACGTAGAAGGGAAGTAATAAAATAATAAAAATAAAACATAATAAAACAATTCTCACGACGTTTCGGCCACAACGCAAGTAGCCGTCCTCAGGTGAAAACCAACATGCTCAAAGCACGTGTGCTGTTTCATTCAGACGCTGTCGCCTCGACAGACTTGGTTTTCACCTGAGGACGGCTACTTGCGTTGTGGCCGAAACGTCGTGAGAATTGTTTTATTATGTTTTATTTTAATTACTGTATTACTTCCCTTCTACGTGACTTTACCGAAAGAACCAAGAAGATGAATCCCTGCAGTCACGAAAGCTTTAAATCGAAATTTAACTTCGCCAGCATCTCCCGATGAGCGCGGTTGGCTACGTACGGTGCGAAAGAAGTTCAACAAGTCATAGCTGTAGACACATCGGCAGTGGCTGTCACATTCCGCGTGTGCATCGCCGCCCTGACGCGTTGCGCTCTCTCTCTCTCTCGTCAGGTTCTTCGTGGACAATCCATCCGCGCAGGACTTCTTCCCCAAGTTCAAGGACCTGGACTCGGAGGAGAAGCTCAAGGGCTCCACGGCGGTGCGCTGGCACGCCGAGAGGATCATCAACGCCGTCAACGACGCCATCTGGCTCCTGGACGAGCCCGAGAAGAACGCCAAGAAACTAAAGGAGCTGAGCGAGAAGCACGCGGTGCAGCTCAACGTCGATGCCAAGTTCTTCAAGGTGCGTGGAGCGGCAGGGCAGTGCCTCGGTTTGGGGAGGGCGATAGGTCCCACGCACCCCACGGGCCCCACGCACACTAATCACCCCAAGCACCCCACGCACATCAAATATCCCACGCACCCCAATCACCCCACGCACCCCAATCACCCCACGCACACCACGCACACCAATCACCCCACGGACTCCACACACATCAAATATTCCACGCACCCCAATCACCCCACGCACACTAATAACCCCAAGCACCCCACGCACATCAAATATCCCACGAACCCCAATCACCCCACGCACACTAATAACCCCACGCACCCCACGCACACCAATCACCACAATCACCCCACGCACCCCAATCACACCAATCACCCCAATCACCACACGCACCCCACGCACACCAATCACCACAATCACCCCACGCACACCAATCACACCAATCACCCCAATCACACCACGCACCCCACGCACACCAATCACCACAATCACCCCACGCACCCCAATCACCACAATCACCCCACGCACCCCAATCACCCCACGCACACCACGCACCCCAATCACCCCAATCACCACAATCACCCCACGCACCCCAATCACCCCACGCACCCCACGCACCCCAATCACCACAATCACCCCACGCACACCACGCACCTCAATCACCCCAATCACCACAATCACCCCACGCACCCCAATCACCCCACGCACCCCACGCACCCCAATCACCACAATCACCCAACGCACCCCACGCACACCAATCACCCCGCGCACCCCAATCACCACAATCACCCCACGCACCCCACGCACCCCAATCACCCCACGCACACCAATCACCACAATCACCCAACGCACCCCAATCACCCCAATCACCACAATCACCCAACGCACCCCACGCACCCCAATCACCCCACGCACACCAATCACCACAATCACCCAACGCACCCCACGCACCCCAATCACCACAATCACCCAACGCACCCCACGCACCCCACGCACACCAAACACCCCACGCACCCCAATCACCCCAATCACCCCACGCACCCCACGCACACCAAACACCCCACGCACACCAACCACCCCAATCACCCCACGCACCCCACGCACCCTAATCACCCCACGCACACCAACCACCACAATCACCCCACGCACCCCACGCGCACCAATCACCCCACGCACACCAATCACCCCACGCACCCCAATCACCCCACGCACACCAAACACCCCACGCACCCCAATCACCCCAATCACCCCACGCACCCCACGCACACCAAACACCCCACGCACACCAACCACCCCAATCACCCCACGCACCCCACGCACCCTAATCACCCCACGCACACCAACCACCACAATCACCCCACGCACCCCACGCGCACCAATCACCCCACGCACACCAATCACCCCACGCACCCCAATCACCCCACGCACACCAATCACCCCAATAACCCCAATCACCCCACGCGCCCCAATCACACCAAGCACATATTTTTCGAGGTGCAGAATGAAGAACACCCCCGTCGGGTTTGCCGCACGGCCCCGACGCAGCTCCGTGGTCGTCACGTGGTCTGGCCGGCCCACGTAGAGCGACGAGACGACGATTTGAAAGCGTCGCAATTTGACGCCGGACGACATTTGGCGACTCAAAACGACTCGGATCTGTCCGGCAACAGCAGCTGTCCTCACAGTCGGCGCTGTCCCGCCGGTGTTGTAGCTCCGATTCAAGCGTCGGGGATGTTCAACCATCGTTGCTCGCACATGTGCTTAGAAAAGTGGCGTTTCTGAGAGCAACGACTTGCCGGTATTGATGTTCAGAAAGTCCGCAGGCGTTGTGACATTCATGCAAAATAATAGAGCACATTGCAGGGCACTGAGAGTCCAGAATCAGAATGTTTATTTATCCTGGTGCAATCCGATGAGCTATGAAGCTCTTTTCACGGGTGTCCAGGAGTTGTACTATTGTAATATACAATGGAATTTGGGCTTATTTTGTGCCTAAATGGTCATGTGCATGACGAGTGAAAAGAAGGCATATACACACGCTACGTTTGCTGTGTATATTTGCAGAGGAGATGCGTTCCAAGCTTCAATTGGAAGTCTAATTTGCATTGCAGCGTGCAATTTAAGACAATCTCTTTTTTTACTTTGTTATTTTACAAAGGCAAACATGTTTATCAGTTTACACGCATCCTTTGCACGCCTCTGCACTATCGCCTGGTCCATCAACGGGTATTTCACGTCGCCGTTAAACGCCTGCCAAGTGCGTGGTTTATTTGAAACCTGGCGAATTGTTGTCGATTTTAACGCAGTTCAGCGTGAATGCTCTTGGCTTCAGCCCGGGGTCTTCGTGACGTCGTTTTTGCCGCACACATCGAGAGCCACTGGGAAGGCCACCACGGTGGCACGGCGGTAACGCTCGCGCGTCACAGCGAGAAGGGCACAAGCTCGTTTCCGAACACGGGCATGGAGTTTGTGCGTTCTGTGTGCGTGGAGTTTGTGCGTTCTGTGTGCGTGGAGTTTGTGCGTTCTGTGTGCGTGGAGTTTGTCCGTTTTGTGTGCGTGGAGTTTGTATGTTCTGTGTGCGTGGAGTTTGTATGTTCTGTGTGCGTGGAGTTTGTGCATGGGATTTTTTTCGGGTGCTTTGCCCCCCCGCCCCCCCCCCCAGAACAAAAAAACTAAACTTGCAACTTATAATCTCGGTTGTCATTTGGAAGAAAAAAAAGTTGTACCCACAAAATACGCACGTACCAATCATCCCCCTCCTACCGGCAGACTGATGTCTGTGACGTCGCTATCGATGAGTTATGAAGCTCATTTGTTTATTTTACAGATCTCCAGTAGGTTCACACAATGTCTCTAACTCTCCGGAACTCCTCTCGAGTGCAGAAACCCTTCTGCCGGGAGTGGCGTGAGCGAGTAATTGCAGGGCTGCGCCTTTATCTCCTTTTTAAAGACCCTAAACTCAACATTTCCTCGCGTGTGTGTGTTTTCTTTTTTAATTCCAGGTCCTGGCTGAGGTGATCCTGGACAAGGTGGCAGAGAAGAACGACGGCTCCTTCTCGGACAGCGCTCGCTCTGCGTGGGAGAAGCTGCTGACTTACATCTGCATCAGCCTCAAAGTCGCCTACTAAAAATTCATGTCGCTTTTCAAATAAAATGCAAGTCAAATTCCTGCTCAAACGAGCAGCAAAAAACACAAAACACCCACGTACATGCTACGGACAAAATCTTGGAATGTTGGTGCTTAAATTACAGAAATAAAGATGCATTCGAGGTTATAAAATAGACTATGATTTATAATTATTTCAAAATCCCCCCCCCTCTTTTTAAAAATTCAGACATGTCCAAATATTGACGTGAAATTAAAGGCAGTTAATGAGTTGGCATCAGAGCGCAAATTGGGCAGTCGGCTCCACGCATCCACCGTGGAAACAATTACGTCTTGTTCATTCAATTACCGGTCCTAATGAAATCACGTTTTAAGATAAAAGCGTGGGCATTGCAAGTCTTGTCCGCCACAATTAGGCTTGCATGAGTCGCGTTATATAATTTTTCTTGTGGAGGAATTGGTGACTATTTTCGATTTCAAAGCTTTCGTGACTGCAGGGATTCATCTTCTTGGTTATTTCGGTAAAGTCACGTAGAAGGGAAATAATAAAATAAGAAAAAGAAAACAATAAAATACAATTCTCACGACGTTTCGGCCACAACGCAAGCAGCCGTCTTCAGGTGAAGAACAGGGCTGTCGGAAAGACGGTGTCCGAATGAGTACGCCGTCTTTCCGACAGCCCTGTTCTTTACCTGAAGACGGCTGCTTGCGTTGTGGCCGAAACGTCGTGAGAATTGTATTTTATTATGTTTTCTTTTTATTATTTTATTATTTCCCTTCTACGTGACTTTACCGAAAGAACCAAGAAAATTGGTGACTGTTTTAGTAAACTACAAGCGCTGTCCTATGAAATGCATCCTTGGCATAACTCTATGCAAAATGAGTGGCAAGCCCGTTGGGATTGAAGTAATCAATGATTTAATTTAGATTTGAGGGCTGATATCAAGTTTCAAGTTTCATTTATTAGGTATAGCCCTGTGAGCCATTTGGAACCTGTGACCCTCCCCTCCGCATCCCCTCCGCATCCCCCCCGCACCCCTCCCTCCCTACCGGACACCTGTAACAAAAAAAGAGCTTCATCGCTCATCGGATTTCTCCAGGTTGAATAAAGATTCAGATTTTCCACCCAAACCGCGCGCGTCTATCCGATATACGATTTTAAATCTGGATGAGCAGCACGCGCCATGTTATTGTAAATGACAAAGCGAATAAGCAGGCCCCGGGGAAGCGATAAAGCCGAATAATCAATTTTTGATTTAAAGCTTTCGTGACTGCAGAGATTTGTCTTCTTGGTTCTTTCGGTAAAGTCACGTAGAATAATAAAATAATAAAAAGAAAACATATTATGTTTAATTTGTATTATTTTATTATTTCCATTCTACGTGACTTTACCGAAAGAACCAAGAAGACCGAATAATCAAATCAGAGGTACGACTAGTTTTTCCGTGATTTCGATCTCGTTTTCCATAAACTGCACACCACGAGCCTGACGACGACTCCTCGTTCATTAACACTGGTCCAGCAGCAGCAGTCGAGAGAGAGAGACAGAGTTCTCACGACACGCATGTAAAATGAGTGTTCCAGGTGGGTGAGTCCCCTTCGACTCGGGAGCTCCTAAAACCAAACAGCTCTCCCAAGTGGCCGTCAACACTTGGACACTTAGAGGGCCGCAGAGCTGCGGGAACTGTTGGTGCCGCTCGTCTGTAATTCCTCCTCGCACCTCTGAGTCGCTCTCTCGCTGAGAGTGAGTGACTTGTGTGCAGTGACCATTGTTATTTTCATTAAGCAACAGCAACGTGATTATTGTCACCATTGGAACCTCATTTGCCAGAAGAAAAAAATATGATAATTGGTTTTTTACCCTTTTATCTGGCAACAAAACTGACAAAAGGCCTTTTGGCGTCATCTGGTCCAACACCATGTGAGAATAGGCTCTAAGGAAAGCTATCTCGGGTGTGGACCAATCAACTTCAAGGACAGTTAATACATTATCAGAGTTATGTTTTTTTTGCATTATGACTGCAGGTATTTGTTCTATGCAAACATGACTCCTTGTAAAAAAAATGTGTCAGTTTTGTTGCCAGATAAAAGGGTAAAACAAACAATTATGATTATTGTCATTAATCAATTAGGAAATGTTAAAAAGGGTGGCTAATATTGTTCATAAACATTAGACGCAAAAAATGCCGTTCGCCACTACGTGGCGGTGACGTTCCTACGGCGTTTGTGCCAGACTAGGTGCACCTTAAGAGCATGTGAAGTGGTGTAGGTTCGCTGGCGTTGGTCACGAGGCTGACCCAGGTGCCAATGGTTGACTGACTGAGATGAATGAGAGATGTCCCACAAGTACTCCCTGCCTTTATCCGCCCGGAGCTCCATTCGTTGTTGTGAGCGTCGCTCCTCTGCTCTCTGCAGTTGTTGGAGGGCGACTCGCTCCAACTGCCCAGTAGCGGCGTCCTTCAGAGGCCAATCTTGACACCGCTGGTACCCTTCATCGGAAAATTCAATCATCTCCACATCCTCCTGTACCACATCAGCTTCATCTCGTTTTTAGCCCGAGCTCCGTGGCCTGGCCAACACATCCTCGCCTGCTAGAGGAATTCACTTATGGAATTGTGTCTGGATCTTTCACACAATTCATTCTTATTCAACACAGGATGGATCATGGGCAGGCCAGCCTGAATGTTACGAAACGGTGCAGATGTTCCTTTCAAGGGGCTCACGTTTTGCAAGCATCGAGAAGGGAGGGCATCAGTCCCGGATTAAGCTAGTGCGGGGCCTGTAGCATATGTTATAAAGTAGCCCTAAATAAAAAAAAAGACACATAAATGTTAAAATACAATACACATTTTTTACTCGTATAGTAAAGTAATTGTATTTTTTTTTATTTGCTATACAGCCAGATAATACGACAAATCGCTAACCTTAAACACCCAGTTGTCCATAAAAGTTGAAGGCAGTATAGTACTATAGTAATAGAGCAAGTGCAGAATCACATAACCTGAAGTGATAGCCTGAAAGCATTTAGCGCGGGGCCCTTGGAAATGCGGGGTCCGTAGCTACTAAATAGTAGTAGTAGCTACTACATGTGTAGCTACTACATGTGTAGCTACTTTTGCTACTGGGATAATCCGGCATAGAAGGGCATAGCTGTGGCTGAGAAAATACCTGACACTTCATATGGAGCAATAGGCCGCATTGCTTGTGGATAGCAGCACAGTGAGGCCGCATCGGACAGACGACTGAGCTGTGACACTCATCAGAGTCATGTGAGGAAGTTGCACAGAACTGCTCCAGTGACTGTTCAGATCAGGAAACAAAATATAGACATAATCGTCGACATTTCAGGCAATAGCAGATGTGCTATGAAGAAGGGCCATTTCCCGAAACGTGTATATATCCTCGTTTTTATTGAAAGGCAGCGATATTGACGAGTGTGTTGGGTTAGTGTTGGTAACTGTGCGTGTGCATCACCAGACACTGTCCTTGGTGAGATGGTCAAACAGGATAGTTTCAGTCCAGCAAAAGATGAGACGCCTCGAATCGACGGTATCCGGATTGGTTCGAGACTTTAATTGTGAAACCAGTGGCACTGAGGACGAAGAGCGCGAATCGGGTTGCCAACATCAGCACAGGGGAGGGCAAGATGGCTGCGCGTGGTTCCGGCCACACCATTCACTCATATGCCGTGCTGAGCTTACTAGGCACTCACGTAACATTTCCCCGGGAGTCATCTGCGTACGTGTGTGTTTGTCTTTGTGTGTGTGTTAAGTGCACCTAGCCTGGCACAAGCGCCGTGGTGACGTCGCAGCCACTCAGTGGCGAATAGCGGCTGTTGTCATTGTTGTTGTGTTTAGAGCGCATCAAGCGCTAAATTGACTATTTTTGAAAATGCAAATCGTTTTTTTATGCACTGACAGCCCCAATCAGCTTGCGTACCGCTTGTCAACTTCCGAGGACGAACGCATCTTGGACGGCGTTGTAGAATCCATGGGAACGCATGGGGTTTCTACCCTGTTCATCTCCTAGAGCAGTGCGTGTGCGTGAGGTGTAACCCTTTTAATATGCAAATTTGAGCTCAATGCAAATTAGACTGAGAAATTTTGCCCACGAAGCTTTGACGTCAACCGTGAAGTCTTTTCCAGAAGTCTCCTCCAGGTACGCCAGGATGATGAGAGATATCTCCTGTGAAGCGAGAGAGACAGGGGAGAGGCGCGTACATGCCCTGAGGAATCACAGCCCACGGATGGAGCCGTGGGTGCAATGGACGCTCATGGGCGAGATAACCACGTACAGCACAACGTGACTTCTTTCGTGCGAAATTCCAGACCTCGGGTGCCGAGGCCCGTTTCCACATTCGCTCAGGATGACTGCTATAGGCGTGGACGATGCGAGCAAATAAATGCAGCTGTGGCTTTACCTGTTAACACACTGTAATGATTTGGTAACGAACCCCATCGTAGCACGTGTCGTATGGCGGATAGCAGCGCTGCGCTACGAACCCGGCGACCCGAGTTCGATTCCCGCTCACGGTTCGATACCACGGTGACGATGATCTGAACCGGTCCTGTCCCTCCCCAGGTGCTCAGCCTGGTGCGGTGTGTAAAATCATCGCTGCTGGGGAGACAAATGCGGTCTGGGCACGGTTGCTGGCCACTCACCCCCTCGTGTTGCTGTGCCGGCCTTCATGGGTGCTCGCTAACAGCACTTGCCCCAACATCTCTGCTAAGGCTGCACGGAGGATCTTTGTCATTGTCCCACATTGTACACGGACTCGTTAAGACGCACCAGTAAACGTGAGTGCGTGAATTTTAGGGTGTTGGGTACTGTGCTCGTAAAACTTCTGGCGCCCATCGCGACTTTACGACGGAGGCGACTGCCCTGATGGCCCAGTCCTAAGGCCTGGCCTCAATCAATCAACACAGACGCGTGTGACCACAAATACCTTAAAGTACTGCGGCTCGACGTTGAACTCCGTGGCGTGCCTCTGGCTCAGCTGCCTCAGGCGCAGCCTCTGCATGGCCGGCACGTCCAGCTCCTCGACGGCGTCGTTGATGGCGTTGATGATCCTCTCGCCGTGCCAGCGCAGCGCCGGGGACTTTCTCATGCTCTCCGTCGTGCGTAGCTCCCCGAACTTGGGGAAGAACTCCTTGACGCCCGGGTGACTCACAAACAGCCTGGGCAGAGGGACCGACGGCGCTTCGTCCATCAGACGCAACCAACTCCTGGAGTGTTGTTGTTACCCCGAGCTCTCAATACTCTGATAGTGCGCCGTCTTTGAGTTGTGCGCCTTTTGGCGTCATCTGGTCCAACACCAATGGAGACTAGGCTCTAAAGAAAGCTGTCTCGGGTGTGGACCAATCAACTTCAAGGACAGTGCATATCATTATCATCATCAGAGTTGTTTCTTTTTGTTTGCATTTTGACTTCTTGTGTTGAGGTTATTGCAAACATGATGCCTTGTATCTACACTATGGGGACCTCATTTGCCAGTAAAAATATGATAATTGGTTCTTTACCCTTCTATCTGGCAACAAAACTGACACCTTTTTGCAAGGAGTCATGTTTGCATAGACCGCAATACCTGCAGTCATAATACAAACAAAAGAACATAACTCTGATAATGTGCACTGTCCTTGAAGTTGATTGGTCCACACCCGAGACAGCTTTCCTTCGAGCCTAGTCTCATATGGGTTGGACCAGATGACGCCAAAAGTGCGCCTTTTGGCGTCATCTGGTCCAACCCATATGAGACTAGGCTCGAAGGAAAGCTGTCTCGGGTGTGGACCAATCAACTTCAAGGACAGTGCACATTATCAGAGTTATGTTCTTTTGTTTGTATTATGACTGCAGGTATTGCGGTCTATGCAAACATGACTCCTTGCAAAAAGGTGTCAGTTTTGTTGCCAGATAGAAGGGTAAAGAACCAATTATCATGATGCCTTGTATAAAGGTGTCAGATTTTGTACCAGTTAAAAGGGTAAAAACCTAATACTATATTTTGCCACTGGTAAAGGAGATCTCATAGTGTTGTTGTTTGTCTATTGTTTGTTGTTGTCACGTTCTGACCCCCCCCCGTGCCCCTAATGGACACATGTGGGGGAAAAAGAGCTTTATAGCTAATCGGATTCCTCCTGCGGTGTAAGTAAATACTCTGATTCTGACATTGTGTGGCGACGCTGCTGGTGCGCTGGCTTTTCACGTAATTTCAGTGGAACCACAAATTTGATGCGCTGCGTTTTTTGTTGTTGTTGTGCAGTTGTCAGCAGAGACCATCAACTGGCTACACGTGAGCGCTGTGCGCCGCCAGCCAGCCGGCCACCTCCGTCTGAATTCACGTCGTGACGACTTTGTCTGAACACGCAAAATTCGATACACAGCGTGTTTAAAACAACAAACCATAACAAGCGCTATTACAGCATGCATTTTCAAGTGAGTGCATATATGAACGTGCATCGCTCCAACATAGGCCGTGTGTATGCATTGCATCGCAATCTTTACTCGCATTATGATGCGCGCTGATGGACAAACGCGTGGAGAGGGTCGCTCGACACAGCAAGCCGGCCATGCACGAGTCGACTGCTGCTGACGCATTGCCGTGTGGCTCCGTGCCAGGCAACCAGCGAGCTCCCTCTCGCCTTTTGGGTTTTTAAATTGCAGGTGGCACGTAGCGGGTCGCGACTTAATCGGAGCGCAACGGGAAGCCGAGGCGGTGTTGCGACGTCCGGTTCATCGGTGGAAGCAGCTGGGCCGTCTCCCAGACCCGGCTGCCAGAGGGAAGGCTACGTGGACATTTCAACACGTGGGGCTTTCGCGAGCCAACGTCATCCACTGTGGACACCGTTGACTGGAAGAAAAAAACCCTTGGATGGAGCTCACCGCTTACCGGAAACTGGAGGCACACGGCAAGCATCGGAAACGCAACGCGGTGTCACCGGTGCAGTCCACCCCCCCCCCCCCCGTGTCTGCAGGCAACAGTGTTGGCAGGCGAGAGACAGACAGAGAGACAGACACACACACACGTACTTACCTCGAGAGAATGGCAACGCCCGCGTCCTCGTACTTCTCGTAAACGTTCTTCCATATCGTGCGAATCGCCGCCTTCTCGTCGCTGGAGAAGTCGCTCACTTGTCCCGAGTCTTGAATGGACATGGTAGCGGCGGCGGAGGAGGAGGAGGAGAGAGACGCTGGGGTGACGGAGGAGACAGAGGAAGTGGCGGCGGTCGGTCAGTTGTTGTTGTTGAGGATGGGGATCGATGGTGTGTCGCTCATGGGGCCACGGCTTGCAGAAGATTTGACGACTGCGAGCATCACGCGCGCGCACCAACCACCGCAGCAGTTCTTGCCAAATCGCCCTCCGAGATTTTGCAATGCGCGTGGTTCCTTTGCCGACGAAAGAGATTGAGTCCCACTGATCATATCTGGATTTATGTTAACGACGTCCAGTTTGCTTAGATGGCGGTATCCGTTGTGTCTAAAGTAACACGAAAACACGTGCGGATAGGACCGTCTCCCACTCAATGCTAATAATGTGGTTGCGAGCATATTTCCATCAATGAAGACTCCGACCAAATCCATCGAAATCAAGCAATAATTAATCGCTTTCCATCGGAACAGTCGTGCAGTAGACGCCACCCTCGAGGCCTCTTCCCGTGGTAGCCCAGCGCACTGTGACCCCACTCATGGGAGATCTAGGGGGGTTGATCGTGGACAGAAGATTGACCTTGAAGCCCAACATTCAAAACAGATCGGTGAACAGGTCGGATCGAGAGTCGCCCTGCTCGATAAACTTGCAGGGATGACCTGGGGCGCCGCAGCTGACCTGTGCACACTGCCGCCCTCTCACCGATGATCTTCGAAGTGTCAAGAGTCGCTCCTGCCCGCTCAGGGAGCTCGTACACAAACGTGGTTTGATGCAGCACTCCAGTAACGCGATGCGCATCATCATAGCCAGAACACTGAAACCGACATCAATCCCCTGGCTCCCTGGTTCCGGTGAACATTTCGTCAACAAATATCCGCACGCACGGCAAGAACGTTTACAGGGGTTGTTGTTTTTTGTTGCCAATGGGCGGATCAGAACATCGACAAACAACAACTCAACAAGGTACCTCGCCACCGTCTCCGCTCTCTCTCCCAGGATGGCGCTGCCGTCACCATCCTAGAACCTCGCCCAGATCTGGGGGAAATGCGAGCGAACAGAGTGGAACAACGCAGACGTACAGAATAGACACCTCATTCGAGACCCGACCATCGCAACCTCCTGGCTTTGACATTCCTCGCAAGATACCGGTTTTACCATCAAGCACATCACAACATCGACAGATCGATGGGCGCATCTCCTTCATGAATGGGAAGATTAAAGGCAACTCACATGCGCGCGATTGTGTAACATGCAACCCAAACTATGGACCCTTGCGCAAAGCACTGCAGCGTGCACCCCTTCAACGGAGGAACAGCACACAACTCCGCACGCTCTCTGCCGAAATCCCGTCGTCAGGGGAGGCTCGTGGACCTCAGCGTTGGCATCTCGTTCCTGAACACGTTGCCACACACAAGAAGCGCCCTCGAGAGACGGTGCGCCTGCTGACATTAAATATATGCGAAGACCAATATAGAGGATCACGACTGCCCAGGTCTGTGCTCCTTTGGCAGACACGTGTCCACGGAGACCATACAGCTTTGCGTCCATTCTGATAAGGGAGTATGAAGAGGCAGCATTTGAACAGCCGCGGTTGGAATAGCGGCAGCAAATTGCGAGTGTAATCTCCTTCTGGTGAAGCCGAAAACCTCGAGTGATCTTCAACGGCACAGAGCGGACACATTCGAACCAATCTCCATACCTGTCAACCCCCTTATCAGTGCCCTAGCTCGTTACAGACAAATTCAGACCGTATTGGTCACCCCGTGCCCCTTATACATCTCAACGTTCATCTTACAAAGCGCCATCACAAGGGAGTAAACACAGAAAAACAATTACTTTTGTTGTTGTTGTTAGCCCGTATTGAAACGGCTGTAGGCCGTATGGACCTGCTAACTCAATGTCCCTGTACAAGAACACGGGGTAAACAGTGCGGGTTGACAGCTGTGAATCTCACAGCCGAGATGCCGGCAAACTCTCGGCTCGCTCTCACATCACGGCGGGGACGTGGCGGGTTATGGGCACGCAGCACGTCAGATAACATCCTCATACGAGCACACGAAAGAAGAGTCAGTGACGTGCGGTGAGGTCAATGGCTGGGGAGGAGGCACTGGCTCTTGTCAGAGCCAGATTCACACACCGAGGGGGCGTGGCCTCACGGAGGGGGCGTGGCCTCACTGAGGGGGCGTGTCTTCACTGAGGGGGCGTGTCTTCACTGAGGGGGGCGTGTCCTCATTGAGGGGGCACGTCTCCCTTAGTGAGGCAGATGTGATCGCTGCCTCCCCTGGTGCTTTTTCATTGCAGTTTCATGACGAGACCAGCGAGCCTAAATCTCTGTATACACATACGTGAAATAAGTAACCTGGAGTATGGAAGGCGAGGACATGAAATGAAGGGGTCTACAAACATTACATTGGTGACATACTGAGATAGTAAGAGGCACGCGCTTATTGCCCGCGCTCCATCCAGTTACTGAGGGGTTGCGCAATCAGAGGGGAGGCTGAGCTCGTCGCTGCCTCACCTCTCGTCTCTTTGTGTATTTGCAACGGAGCTCCGCAAATTTGGCGATTTTGACTATAAAAATGATTGGAATCGTACAGAAATGACATTTATAACACAGATCAGTGGAAAAATCTTAATATTTATTTTATTTGATTATTCTTTTTTGTTACTTTTCGTCACAGCTATTTTCATTGGAGTATGACAGGCGAGGCTCTGCCTCCCCTGACCGCACGTCCCTGCTTAGAGTACGTGTTGTTATGTTATCACATCCGAGCTCAATCTTGCGTCTAAGCAAAATGGTCTTTGAAACGTTCGATAACTTGATGGACACCCTGTATGTTGTTGATCATAACTCGCACAGCAGTTCATATGCCGAGTCTGTCTGTGAATGAACGAGACCTTTTTTCCGACATTAGGAAGCCACTGGAGCTATGCACGTTTGAATCTCCATTGAAAAGTCTTGTTTTTTAGAACTGATTTGTGTGTTAATTTGTTGTCCTATCCCCCCGCACTCCCGTTTATCACGGTTGGCGACGTACGGTGCGAAAAAAGTTCAACATACATTTACAGGCAGAGGAAGCTGGAGCCTGCAATGGGCTGTGAGGTGCTGGAGTTGAGGACGCTGCTCCATTCTGTCATAAGCCACCCGAACTCCACAGACATCTGGCCCCGTTCCAGCTCCATCTGTGCGTGTTGGCCAGTGTGAGCCTGCAACGTGTGGGTTGTTTAAACGGCAAGCGGCGACATTGTCGTGAGGTCGCCCGTCTGGTAAACGACGGGAGGGGTGGACCAGATCGGAACAAATGGGACTGGAGTTCGCCACTGTGTACACTCATGATACTGTTGAAACTAGAACGAGCTGAATAAATAGTCGCGATACAACTACCCACGCCTGTGTCCGCCCAGCAGTATTAACGGGCTCACCACAGTTTATCGATCGGAAGGTCACGTGTGGTGGGGTACAATGTGGGCCCTCCAAACTCTGCCAAAACGTCTGTCCGGCGTGGAAGAGCAGCCCAAAATGCCCTCGAGAGGAACTTCACACAGCGGCCTCTAGTGGAGGCCCTTCTACCAGCAGTGGCGTGAGCCAGTAATTGCAGGGCTGCGCCTTTAGCTGCATTGACACGGAACCGACACCACATCTAAGCCGCTGTCCATGGCGGTGAGGCTTGCAGCCCTTTTATAAACAACAGGTCGAACGGTGCTGTATAATATTGTATCGACACCATAGGAGAACTGACACAACACAAAGCTTGAAGGCAGTCCGCAGTACTCGTGCGGAATGTTTCGGTGTTTGCACACAAACTCGTGTCGCTGCGCTGACGCTTTCGCGCGTTCAATTGCGCGACGCGGTCGGATAAATCTCGATTGAGCAACCGCTGGGGCTCGTGTCCAATTTCACAACAACACCGCGCGCTGCGCGCTGGAGCTCAGCGACAGAGTTGCGCAAACTCCTACAGGGGCATGTGTGGACATCGAGCCATCTGAGGTTCCTGACCAATAAATGGCTGCTGTCGGCACGAGGTTGGTCCCAAGGAGGAGGGGGACGCGTGCTCGAGGGCGAACGGACTCACGCGACTTGCCAGGCACGAGGCATCGCGCCGGGGTCTGTCCGAGCGTCGGGCTGCGAACTCGCCTCGTGGGCCCTGACGCCTCCACCGCGGACCGCGAGCAGAAGTGGAATGGCGTTGCAGCTACTAGCTCAATTGCAAAGTGGTGCTGCGTGGAGTCAGAACTCAATGCCTCGCCTGCCTCATAGTGGTAGGAAATTACGCAACAGTTTTATTAGATAAGCAGGCAATTATGTTTATTGATACAAATATAAAAGTATGCTTTATACAACCCATCGGACCCAGGGCCTTCTAGGGGTGCATAATTTCAGCAACATTGATTCAGCAATTTCTGGACCGGTTTCGACACACAGTGTCTCATCAGCAGAGCCTGGCCTTGCTCTGATCAATGCCGGGGAACTGCCAGATGTTACAGGCGATCCCCTTAAACTATCGGCTCTCGTCCGATTAAAACTTATATAACACATAATAACGTAAATTAGACATTCCTCGAATATACTGGTGTAACCGTTAATCACATCAGAAGATCAGCAGTCCTCTGTGAACATCTTCATGAATGGAACATTAATGACAAGACATGTTGTGGCTTTGCATCCAGAAGATGTCCCGTGTAGTCAACCACTGTGGTCTGCGCGCCATCAACGGAAGAGGAGGAACGGGCAAAACGACACGAAACTCTCTCAATCTCTCCTGAAGCCATCTCGTCGTGACCAGCAGACCTCGACATTGGCATCATCAGCTCCTGAGCGTAGTGCCAGCAATAGGCAAGAATATATTGGGGTCAAGTGAATGTAGCGACATCTAGAGGTCACGTGGTTACATCACATACCGCGTCAATGAATGAACACAAATGCTCATTACACACACGATTTCTCTGGATGTGTTTGGAAGAACGCGTTCCACCAATCACATTAACATCAGCTGCCCCCGCCCATGCTTCTGACACTTGGCCTACGCCAAGTGCTTGCTTAGGACCGTGCACATCTTTCGGTCGTTTTTTAACCCACTTCCCGTGATCCAATCGAGCTGACATTTTCCACACAGACTCGTTGTGCGTGACAATTAATGTTCGTGAAATTTTTTTTCCAAAATTTTACACTTTTTAGGACAAAAATATTATATTTAATTACCAATTGCTTAATGCTGCCATGCAATCATCTGACCCATAGGTGACAGCCATCTCAAGCCAGAGGACGAGAGGACTCGAGCCGCCACGCATATAAAGGATTTGTAGTGAAAAACTTTGTTTTTACGGGTTATACTTGTTATTTTTTGCCCTCCGGGTTTCCCCCTCCACGTTTTAGAAACGTGCATTGCGATTATTTAGATAATTTTGGTGCTTACAAATGCCCGAATGATTGGGCCACTTTGTTGAGCTATCATTTGTGGCCAGGTCGCTTCTGAAAAGCAAGTTAATACCTCCGTGGGCTTTGCCAGTACAAACATTCATTGAGATAATTAGGATTATTTTGGTGCTAACAAACATGCTCCGATAACATATACATTTCCTTTGCATGTATTATAATGCAGATATATTATCAAAGCATGTTTGAATGCTCACTACTAAGTACGTGTGGTTAGTGCGAACTTGATTCCTCGCAAAGGTTTCTATTTGATGTTTGAACATCGTAACCCCTGTTTTAGTGCCAGAAATGGTAAAACCTTTTCTTATTTTTTCACACCAACAAAGACACATTGCTAATCGTGAATATGTTATACTTTAACGAAGTGTTGACTGATGCTTCTGATGAGAAACATTGGACGCGTTCCGTTCCATCGCACGCTGATCTTTATCCACAATCAGAACGATGTTAAAGCCATTCAGAGAGCACTGCGATTATCCGTGCAGAGTAGTAGAGTAACCTTGCCTATCCGAGCTGGGATATGCAAAGGACGGTGCCTATCCGTGTTGGAAAATGTACCCTGCGCTTATCCGTGCCGGGGAAATAGAGCGCGCTTTTGCCTATCCGTAACTGGGTAGAGTACCGCGCCTATCCGTGGTAGGAAATATAAAGCGGCGTTCATATCCGTGCTGGGAAATGTAGAGCGCTATGTTTGTCCGTAGTGGGAATTGTAGAGCGCCCATGCTTGTCCGCGTTGGGAAATGCAGACCGCGGCCCCAAAAGTTCCCGGATGCGGCCCGGGTTCCCGGATGACGCCAGAGTCCCGGTGCAGGGCGCCCTGCCCGGGGTGACGGGAGCGGCGCAGGCAGCGGGGTCATGCCTGGAAGCCGAGCCCGACTCGCAGGTGAGGCACACGGACGCGCGCGGGAGTCGCCGCTGATCGGCCAGGAGCAGCGCCGCTGGCTTAAGCCGCGACCGGCGAGTGCCGAGACTAGGCCGCTCTCGGGCCCTAGCTTCTTGCCTAGCCGAGCCGCCGCCCGCCTGCGGGGTTCGCGGCGCGGGAGAACCCGGCCGCCGCTTTGCGGCCTCTTGCCGCGTGGTCGCCGTGCGAGGCGTGTGGCGCGCTGGTGGTGGTTGTTGTTGTTGTGTTCGAGTGCGGGTCTCATCGCGCTCGCGGTGCGCGGGTTTGACGCGAATCTCTCCCGGTGGCGGGGGGTCGTCTTCGGGCGCTTCCTCCCTCCCTCCCGGCGGGCGGACGGCGTGAGACTCGGGGCACGAAATGAGGGAACGGGCCGAGCAAGCACCAGCGACGCGGTCGCGATCGAGAAACATGCCGCGAGGTTTAGCCGCGAAGCGATTCAAAGTGGCGATAACTTTGAAAAAAAGTCAGCGGGCTTGGGCAGGATACGTCGCTGTAAGTGATGATGGCTGGCGGGGCGAGGCGCAGGCTGGGCAAATGGCACGGGGGGAGGGAGGCGCCTTGCGAGCGTGCGGGAGCCGCGGATTTGTTACATCGCAGGGGCTGACTGAGGGGGATGGCGGGAAACTTGTTTGGTGAGGGAGGTTTCTCCATTGAGCGTTGTTGGTTGGGTTGATCGTGGCCGGTGGTGGTGGTGGTGGTGATGTGCGGCCGAACGCGGCTTTTACAAACGAGGAAACGGCGCCCCGGACTTTGACACGTGTCTACCGCGGTCGCATCCCGCTTCCCCTTCTCGCACGCGTTCATCTCGCGGCGCAAAGCGCAACACGCTCGTCAATAACACGCGGGCCATTGTCCGAAACGTCGCCGACTACGTGGGGTTTCCCTCAAGGCAGAGTTGTCGACGAATGTGTTTTAGTTTTGCTTCCTTGTTCATTGTGTTTCTGTGTTTCTGCCAACGCAGCAGCAGCAGATATATGTTTGTCTATCGTAGTGGAAGTACAGTACACATCGCCCCCTCGCGCGAGACACCCCCCCACCCCCAGGCTGCCCCCCCACCACAACCCAAGGCTGCCCCCCACCACCCTGCCCCCTCACCCCGAAGCTGCCCCCGCCAGGCTGCCCACCCCCAGACTGCCCTCTCGCCCCCATACTGCCCCCCCCACCCCCATGCTGCCCCCCCCACCCCCAGACTGCCCCCCCACCCCCATGCTGCCCCCCCCTCCACCCCCAGACTGCCCTCTCGCCCCCATACTGCCCCCCCCACCCCCATGCTGCCCCCCCACCCCCAGACTGCCCCTCACCCCCAGACTGCCCCCCCCCAGACTACCCCCACCCCCATGCTGCCCCCCACCCCCAGACTACCCCCACCCCCAGACTGCCCCCCCCCCATCCGCAAGCCTCCCCCCCACCCCCAGACTGCCCCCCACCCCCAGACTACCCCCACCCCCAGACTGCCCCCCCCCCCAGACTGCCCCCACCCCCATGCTGCCCCCCACCCCCAGACTACCCCCACCCCCATACTGCCCCCCCCCATCCGCAAGCCCCCCCCCCCCACCCCCAGACTGCCCCCCACCCCCAGACTACCCCCACCCCCAGACTGCCCCCCCCCCAGACTGCCCCCCCATCCGCAAGCCCCCACCCCCAGACTGCCCCCCACCCCCAGACTGCCCCCCCCCATCCGCAAGCCCCCCCCCCCACCCCCAGACTGCCCCCCACCCCCAGACTGCCCCCCCAGCTCTCCACCCGCAGACCCCCCCCTCCTCGCCACCCGTGGAGCGCTGCGCGGCGCGAGCTTCCAATCCAATCGGGGCGCGTGCTGAGCGGCGTGTGGCCTCCAGCCAATGAGAGCGCTGCGTAGGAGCGGACAGACAAATCCTGAGTTTAAACATGATAATCCCTCGTTCTGCGGCGACTCAACATACGGAATTCGGCAAAAACGTAACATAATAAGGAATGCATTCAAAGTTCACGTTTACATAAAAACGAATTATGCAATGAAGACTGATCCAAATCTTGACTTAAAGCTGTCGTGACTGCAGGAATGAATATTCTTTGGGTCGTCATCAGGCACCCTTTGCCCGATGACGACCGCTTGTGTTGCGATCGAAACGTCGTAGTTTTTTGTTATTTTCTTTGAACCTGTCTACGTGACTTTACCGAAAGACCCAAAGAATAAGAAGGATCTAGGTCGACTGCGCGTGCCTTTTAAAACTTTACTCGTCACCCGCGATATATATTTAAGTGTTTATAATTGATCGAAACATGATAAAGTTTTTAAAGGTTTGCTGAATTCTCAAGCGTGATTTTTTTTATTACATCTTGGGATCAACATTTGTTCTATGCATCACCTATTACATAATGGACGACAATGGGAAAATAGGGTTTCCATACACGAAATGTGGCTTTACGGAACACATTCCTGCGGAGGGAGCTGGTAGGAACGTTGGGTTGCTCGGTCAATGGCCAGGGCCAACGGCGGCGTGGTGTATTCCGCAAATATGCCCGACTGTGAGGGCGGGCACAAGCTGGCGTGAGTAGGTTAAACGTTGAGTTTTATAAGGGCACCACGGGGTGACCAGCCCCTCCCCACCCAGCCCCAGCCCTGCCCCTCCCCACCCAGCCCCCCCCCTCCCCACCCTCACCTCCCCACCCAGTCCCTCCCTCCCCACCCAGCCCCACCCAGCCCCCCTCCCCACCCAGCCCCTCCCCACCCTCACCTCCCCACCCAGCCCCTCCCTCCCCACCCAGCCCTGTGGGTTGGTGTAACCAGGAGGTTCCTATCAGTACAACTATTCTACTGGATATCTGTGGAAAAAGAGCTCGTAGCTCATCGGACGCCTCCAGCATAAATACGTGTTTTGACTCGGATTTATAAACGTACCTCTTACGTATGTAATTGATAGAAACCGGTTAAAGTACTGCCCGCGTATTTGTGCGGGATACACGGCTGGGGTGAAGGGTGGGTGACGCGTGACGTCGGCGTGAGCTTAACGATGTGGAATGCGGGTGACGTCATCGCCGTTCCCTTGCCAGCAATCGCTCCAGCCAGCTTGCCAGCCAGCAAGACTTTTGTATGATATGGTACGATACAATCGGCGATGGCCCGAATTCCTATAATATTTACGTGTTACAGCCAGTTTATCATTCCTTTAAAAAACGACTGGGACGTTTGATGTCGATGTCCCATCGGTTTATGCACTCAAGTATTATTTACTCGGATGATGAAACAGTCCCACGTGTCTTTCGGACACCGGTCTAGGGGGGGCGAGTAATTTGGGCTCTTTTGGTCCACGTTGCTGTGGCAGGAGGGAACCATGACTGTGCCGTGCGGAGCAGAGGGAACCTCATCCGGTAACAAGCTCACGGTCGTGGCCCCCACCTCGTCCACGGAGGTGCTGGCGGCGACCGATGAGTGGCTGAGCACAGAATTCTGCTGCCCTCCCCAGTGCCAGCAGGAACCCTCCCCGTTACCGGACGCTGCACGAGAGCACAGCATGTCTGTACCGAATAAGTCTGTCCTGCAAGGTGAGCGTGTGACCGCACGACCTCATAAACCTCTGCCCATACTGGACATCTGTGAAGAAGAGCTTCATAGCTCATCGGATTCCTCTAGTCTAAGTAAAAGATTGTGATTTTGACAACGTCGAGAGCAGCTTTGTCGCCGCTGATGTTGCTGTTCATGAGTAAACGGGGTACCTCACATTTTCACGAACTTGAGCTTTAAGCTTCATTGCAAGTATTTATGCCGCTTGGCAACTGTGGAACGCTATTTTCCTCGAGAGGGTAATGGCACGGGTACTGGCCGAGCCACTGAATATCCACAACAGCCTCTTTAGCAGTGGAGCGGTTTGCAGCTAACCGTTTACTTCACCGTGCTTTTTGGCGCAGAGGAGGACGATGGCATTCCGGCTGCTCGGATCACTCTGTTTGCGCCGGAGCGACTCCATCTCAAGTGGGAGAGGAACGTGTGTGAGGGTGCCGGCCTGCAGAACCTCGGCAACACCTGTTTCCTCAATGCCACGCTGCAGTGCCTGACGTACACGCCGCCGCTCGCAAACTACCTGCTTCTGCAAGAGCACTCGCGCACCTGTGAGTTCTCGCCCCACCCACCTCCCCAATGCGATCGTGTACCGATGAGTTAGAAATAAACATGAGCAGATGTGGTCGTCTTTAAAAGGCTGCACAGATTTTGGTTTCCCGGCCGTGTGTTAATCCTCGGCCGGACTCGCTGAGTGTAACTGTTGTGCACCTATGCCCTAATTCTCAGGCAAACGGAGCGACTTCTGCCTGATGTGCTTGATGGAGAGTCACGTCATCAGCACGTTCAACAACTCCATCGGCATCATACAACCCATACTCATCACTCGGAACCTCACACGTGAGTTCCGGAACTTTTTTTCAGCACTTGCAATCGAATAAAGGGGAAACTATCTCCGTGATCCTCCGCCATCTGTGTTCAAAATCCTTTTCAAATGTCTGTTGGAGAGCTGTTGAGAGACATGGGATTTTGTTGGATACTGTACCTGTAACTTCGTGCCCTCGCCCGTTTCCCTGCAGGTATCGCCAAACACCTACGTTTTGGAGAACAGGAGGATGCCCATGAGTTTTTAAGATACATGGTAGATGCCATGCAACTCTCGTGCCTCTATGACCACAGCGAGTGAGTACTGCACGTCGGTCAACTGCAGCATTCGTTCTGCAGTATGGTGTACCTTACGCCTTACGGCTTTCTCTTGGTTCTCGACGTGAGTCACCTGGGAGGGCGACGACATCTATATCACTGTCTTTAAATGTCTTTTAAAAAAGTGTTCGAAATGTTTGAGCGACAAACCTGCGTTCAGTTCGGAGATGAGGACTGACGCAAACTGGCACTACGGTTCTTTCAATCTGGCCCTCACGTGGGCTGCTTTTTGGTTACACATTTCGCGTTGCTAATAAAAACCGGGAGATCGATCCTTCGACGTCCAGTAGTGGCACCTTCACGACATTCGAGCAGTACGTTGTGCGCTGGCACAAAAACGCAGTAGCGGAGCACTGTTTAACGACTGTCAGCTTGCTTACAGATCTCCGGTTGTGCCATGAAAGGTGGCTGCCCTAGGCAGATCCTACCACATTTAGCTGACACGGAGCGTGCTTTTGCGTTGCTGAAGGGACACAATCAACAGCTCGAGCAATTGTTTAACACCTTTGCATCTAGCAAAGATGTTGCTGCTGCTGTAACCACCGTGCGGTGTCGTTGCGTGAATTTAAGACTGGACAGGTACACGGAGGCTACCACTCTCATCTACCAAATCTTTGGAGGGTATCTACGATCACGAGGTGAGTTCGGTACACTCTAGAGACGTGTTATTTGCAAGCAGCAATCACACTATCATGGTGTAAAAGTGCTGGCGAGCAGCCTTTACACAATAACACAAGTGGCATAAACAAACTTTTTTCCAGTTGGTGCAAACTATTAACTATGTTGGTGGTGCACGTGAATTAATGTTGACGAGGTAAAATGTGACATCCCTCTAACGTGTGTGTGTGTGCTTGTGTTTTGCAGTTGAGTGCATGCAGTGCTTGGGCACCTCCATTACCTATGAAACGTGCCTGGACATTGCACTCCAAATCAATGTAAGTAATGCGGAAGCCATTGCTTAAAATATATCTTAATCAGCCACCTAGCAATTAACTAACTATTTATTTTCTCAGGTAAGGCTCACTAACCACCAATGTAGCTCGTTTTTCAGAAGCGACCTAGCCACAAACGATAGTTCAACGAAGTGGATTATCACGTTGAAATTTATAGCAACCAAATACTCTTTAGACGCATGATTCTGAATGTGGAGGGGAAAATTGGAGGACCCGGAAAAAAATCCTTTCGACCGCAGGGAGAACATACATACTCCAGATTTTCATGCGTCAGGGTCGGAATTGAACCCACGATCTCACCCAAATAAATATGCTGCCAGTAACGTACACAATCTCTTAATTGCGGTTGTATGATTTAATACGAGATGTGGTTTCTGAGAATTGCCATCCCAATATAATTCTGCACATGCTTATAGAATGCTTCTCTCAGACTCTGCCTTTACTCTTTGTCGGGCAACAGAACTCCTCAGATCTGGTGGAGGCTTTTCGCGAGTTTGTCAAGATGGAGACCCTGGATGACTACACCTGTGGAACGTGAGTGTGCATCGGCAACGCACGTTGACGTCAAAACGCTGACGTGACTTGAAAGTTTGCAGATGTGAAAAAGTGTACGTTTTGCTGCATGAAGTTGGGCTTGCCAGTTGCGGATGCATATGATGGCCGGGTTTGTTGTCGTTCTGCACAGGTGCTGTCGCAAGGTCAAAGCGACAAAGAAATTAACTCTACACCGCCTGCCGAACGTGCTCACCATCTCAATAAAGCGCTACAGCTACTTTGGCACCAAGATTAGCCGGGTAACTCTTCTCCCCCCCTATGCATTGGTATAATTATTCATTTAATTCTAGCCGCTTTGTCGGTCCAATGTTGGAGAGAATGCCTCCCCATGCTGGAATGGTCGTGGGTGTTGCTTGCTCGTACTTGGGCGCCACGGTGGCGAGAGGTTAACCGCCTCGCCTGGTATGCACGAGGTCGTGGGTTCGATCCCAACCCTGATGCCTGTTTATTTGGAATTTGCATGTTCTCCCTGTGGACACGTGGATTTTTTCTCCGGGTGATAAGCCACTTTTTTTTGCGCTATCATTTGTGGCCAGGTCACTTCTAAAAAAGAGCTATATAGCTCAGTGGGTCTTACCTGGTAAAAGAAAAATTGTTTAATAGTTTTAATACTTCACCACGCCGGTCGGTGTGGCTTGGTGAATGGGAGTGGCCCAGGACCTCTGATTTTAGCCGTTGCCAAAAATCACCGGGGGGTGGGGAGATGGGGATGTTAGGGCTGGGGGTGGAACTGCCGTTCAACGTTGGGTGTTTCCACCGGTTGAGATACAAATTATTTTGAGGTGTCTACTTTAGATACCATGCCATGATATTCCGGCCAGGTATCTCAGCAGTAGGGCGAGCGGTGCGAAATCGGAACATTGGGAGTTGAAATCTTGCTTGAGGGTCGACTGAACCATCATCCCTCAGGGTTGATAAAATAGATACCACCTTGTGGGGAAATCACCGGTGGATGTGCTATGGATAGACTCGCCTTGGTAGTATGAATGTAGAATTTTCACCACTTGCTCAGGACTAAAAACAGGACGTGAGCCCCCTTTTATGCTCATTTGAGCAAGAAATCACTTGGACGCTTTGACATGTAACTAAGATGCTGCCCATCTCTGCTGCCCCCCCACCCATGCCAAAACTTTCCTCTCTTAATTTTTGTCACTCTCTTGCTGCCTCCTCCTGCTGCTGCTGCGACCTGTGCGGTGCCCGTAGGACATCACCTATCCGGAGCACCTGGATGTGCAACCCTTCATGTCGAAGTCCCCGGGCGAGCCCGTGATATACATCCTGTATTCAGTGCTGGTGCACGCAGGCACCGACTGCGACATTGGACATTATTATTGCTATAATAAGGTAATTCCATTTGTTGCCAACAACCAAAGAACAACAACAATGCTGCACATTTGTAATGCATTGTATGATGCACATGAAGAACTTGTATTGTGTGTTATTACTTGAATTCAGTTGGGCGCATGTGTAGAAATTGTAATGACGTACGGCTGTGCTTTAATTGTGTGCAGATCAGCGATGGAAATTGGTACTGCATGAACGACTCCCTCGTGCGGCGGGTCGACACTGGTGTGGTGATGAACGAGCAGGCCTACATGCTCTTCTATATTCGGCAAGTTCGTGCTTCTGTCCCCTCTACTCCGACCTGCACAGACACTGGCTCACGCAAGCGACAGTGCCTCCATTGAAGGGCATTGGCGTTTGGAATCTGACCAATTTGTAGCGCAGCGCCTTAATGTTAGCTGCTTTATCACGGAGCGCCGTGGTGGCGAGATGCTAACCACCTCGCCTTGTATACGGGAAGTCGTGGGTTCTATCCCGACCCTAACGCCTGCTTTATATTTGCAGTTTGCGTGTCCCTCCCAGTGGTCGTGTGGATTTTTCTCCGGGCCCTCCGGTTTTTCGTTCCACATTCAGAAACATCCGTTTCGGAGTATTTGGTTGCTATTAATTTCCACGTGATAACGAGCCACTTCATTGGAACCATCGTTTGTGGCCAGGTCACGAGAGTTCAGTGGGGGGCCTTACCTGGTAAAGTAAAAAAAATAGTGCGTAGTTTGTGATCGTTTTTTAGTTTTGATGGGCATCCGCCACGGCGGTGAAGCGAGCGGGCGGCGTTAACGGTTTGCGACGTGTCGCTGTGTGCTTTGTGCAGATGCCCAGAGTTGAGCGCGATACCGGCCGACAGTTACCGCCCGCTGGGGCAGGCGACGGCAGCGGCGGCGTACCGGGCGGCCCTGAAGAAGCGGGCACGCCCGGCGCTGGACACTCCGGGCCCTGTCTCTGGACCACAGCTCCCCTGTCATATGGCCAAGGTGAAGGATGTTTCTTTATTTATGCAAACATTCCCACCCCTTCCCCCGTACCTTCGATCAGCATGGTTAGCTATGTACGGTGCGAGAGAAATGCAACATCCGTACGTAATATCTGGTGCAAAAGATTATTACCGAAGCTCTCAACAGAAGTTGTGTACCGGATTAACTGCACGTGTAGTAAATGTTATGTTGGGCAAACAGGACGAATGATCAGCATGAGACTAAATGGACACCAAAGAAATATAAAATTCTCCCAAATACAACTGTCATCAGTAGCAGAACACGTGTGCCAACAAGAACACTCAATTGATTTTGATAATGTTGAAGTTCTGTGCAAAAAACCTCTATTATATATGTGCATACATAGAACAGTCAGCAGGGGGCGATCTGTGGGGTGTGTTCTCTGAGCCCACGACTTACTGCAGGATGTGTCTTCACATGAGGGGGGTGGAGGGCACACTTTCCGGTTTAGTGGGGGAGGAGAGAGAGAACATAAAAGGTAAACAAATGGTGAAGCACAGCGCCTTTTTGTTTTTACTTAAACCGATTTTGTTTAATTCACCCATTGTCGGGCGTTTAGAACTTTAACACCAGTCGCCTTGTTGATCTCCAGAAATCAGAAGTGCCCAAGCTATCGGACCGCTTCAACGGGAGCAATGGCAGCGGCAACTGCAATGGCAACGGCAGAAGCAGCAGCAGCATCGGCATGGCTAACATTATCAGCAACAGCAGCAACAACAGCACCAGCAGCAGCAGCAATGGAAGAGCCGTCAACGGAATCGCCGGCAAGCAGGCGGTCAATATCAAGAGCAACGGCAGCTCGTCCGTGCGTCAGCGCAAGCGGCACAACTGGCAAGCGGCCTCCTCCGCCGCTGCCCAAGCCGCTGGCATGTGCTGCGGCGCAGGTGCAGCTGAAGCCGCCCAACCCGGCCGCCTTCGTGAGGAACCCCACGTGCCCGGGTCAGCCCTTCCCGCAGAGACTGCGCGCCGAGCTCAAGTCGGCACGTGACACGAACGGTGCGGCGTTCGCCGCGGCGGACGGGGCTTCTGCGCGGCCCGCCAATGGTGCGACTCGCGACAAGCCGGCGAGCAACGGCGGCGAGGCCGCCGCGTCGACGAGACCTGACGGTGCGACCGAGGCCGCGTCGCCTCTGTCGAAGGGGGCCGCCGCCGCGCCGGCGTTGGCCGCGAGCAGCCTGGGGGTGCAATTCAAGCACAGCGGCAACCTCCAGCTGGACAAGCTGTTGAACAAAGAGTCGATCAGGGAATACGCCAGGCTGAAGCCGGGCAGCAGCAGCAGCTGTGAGGGTGGCGTCACCGCCCTGTCGAATTTTGCGGCGCCCTCGCAGCACCGTGGCTTCTTCAGCTCGAGCAAGCTCGTCTTCCGCAACGACCATCGGAACCAGTTAACCTCCCTGGTCCCTTACGCGCCCGGCGAATCCTCAGAAGAGTCCGAGACTGAGATTGTGACGAAGATGACCGAGGAATCGGCAAACCTGCGCTCGCGTTTGGACGGAGGGCGCCGCTGCGGTGCAGCCAGCGGCGTCGCAGCCGCCTCGGGTGAAGGCTCGGCGAAAAGTCTGGCGTCCGTAAACGAGGGTGGTGCGGGGGACTCGGGCGGGAGGCCGGGGACCGCCGGCGAGGGCTGTGTGCGGCAGGCGACCATCCCGAGCTGCGCAGCTGTGAACGGGAACAAAGAGAGAGCCGCTGCGGGAGATCTGCTCGCAGATGCAGAGGTGAGCACAGCTTTGGTCAGTCTGTAGTAGAATTTTTGTTATATTACACTTGTAATGACAACGCGCTTTAGAATCACCGATTCTGAATAGTGTTTTCTTAAATAAACCGACGACGTGAACATGAAAAATAATATTGATCCTTTAAAATGTTGCTGCAATGCTTCCGTGCTGTTGCAGGAAATTAAAAAAGTGTTTATCGCCGAGGGTGGAGTTACTGACCCACCCAAAACCAGTGACCAAAAGTCAACCTCCGGCGCCTCTTGGTACGTATTTCACCTTTTCACTTGAGACTCTTCTTCGTTCGTGCTTCTTAACACGCTGACATCAGGCACGAGTCTTGTGGCTTCAACCTGCGCTCTGTCTTCCTCCAGGAACGTGGGTGCACAGCAGTTGCCAACGTGCAAAGAGAACGGAGGCGGGCATTCTTCAAGCGAGGGTAGTGGCCACGCGCCGGTTCCGCCGCCTCCCAATCCCACGAGCCCGTCGCTCGCGGCCAAACCAAAAGACTCGCCGCAGGTGGCTCGCCTCAAGCTGCCACCGCTCGATCACCGCACGCAATTTCACTGGGAGCGGTGGACCAGCGGCTCGGCGCACGCGCTCACGAGGCCGTGCGCGCTGGGCGCGAGCAACGGTGCCGCCGAGTGCCCGTCGGAGAGTTTGTCTGGCAAGACGGAGGATCCGGCGCCGCCGGTTAAAAATCCCGCGGATGAAGTGAAGACAAACGACGGTCGGTGCCTCCAAGGGCAACGCGATGGCGGTGAAGGTGTTCAGGAGTTGCGCGCTCCCCACCTCGGAGAATCCTACGACGGCTCCGGCTGCCGGCGTCTCGGCAGCAGGTCGAGGTCGTCGTCGGGGTCGTCGTCGAGGTCGTCGTCGGGGTCGACGTCGGGGTCGTCTTCGAGGTCGTCGTCAAGGTCGTCGTCGAGGCGACGGAGCAAAATGCGCCGGGTGGACATGCCCCCGCGGAGTGCTCGTTGGCACGTTGGCAACGGTGGTCACAGCAACCCCCCACACAGGCGGGGCAGCCGTCGCCCGTCAGACAGCCGCTATCGCCGGTCTCCGAGCAACCAACGCTATCGTCGGTCTCCAAGCAGCCAACGTCATCGTCGGTCTCCTAGCAGCCAGCACCACCGCCGCCGATCACGCAGCAGCCGCCGCCGGTCTCCTAGCAACCGCCGCCGGTCTCCTAGCAACCGCCGCCGATCACGCAGCAGCCGCCGCCGGTCTCCTAGCAACCGCCGCCGGTCTCCTAGCAACCGCCGCCAATCGCGCAGCAGCCGCCGCCGGTCTCCTAGCAACCGCCGTCGGTCTCCTAGCAACCGCCGCCGGTCTCCTAGCAACCGCCGCCGGTCTCATAGCAACCGCCGTCGGTCTCCTAGCAACCGCCGCCGATCACCTAGCAACCGCCGCCGGTCTAGCAGCCACCGCCGGTCTCCTAGCAACCGCCGCCGGTCTCCTAGCAGCCACCGCCGGTCTCTGAGCAACCGCCGCTGGTCTTCTAGCAGCCACCGCCGGTCTAGCAGCCACCGCCGCCACCACCACCACCGCCGATCGCGCAGCAGCCACCGCCACCGCCGGTCGGCCAGCCGGCACTCGCGCCGCCGAAGCCGGAGTGTGGTGAGCTGCGCGAGAGACGCTCGAGACTCGAATCGCCGCTGGCGTCGAGGAGGAGAACGCAGCCCCAGCGCCGCTAGGCGGCGCCACCGGACAGACCGCCAGCATTGGGCAGCTGGCAGGCACCGCACGTGCCACTCGTGAACTCCATCGTTGTTTTCATCTTCCACATCGTGGACAAGCAAAAGCAAGTTTAATCTCGTGGGCTTTCGCGACCAATATTATTCATAATGAATGTTTTTGGTTAGATCGCGTTAAAGTGTAATTGTGTCGTAACCCTCCGCCACCTGACACGGCCCGTAAGGTTTGTCTCGTGAACAAGACGTGCCGCTTAGTTACCACTTTGGAGAGTAAATCCACAACGTTTACAATTTGAGTCGCACGACGTTTCGCTGGTGATTACATCAACCAGCATCATCGGGCGATTTGCCAGAATAGTGAAGCCATCCACCTGCTTCTGGTCTTAGATAGAGCAAGAGCACTGCACCCATCAGGGGCAGAAATCAGAGGGGGAGGGGGTTATTGTAATTACATAATAGATTAGTAATAATTTAATTTACATCACGGGACCTTCCTTTGCCGTACGCCTTTTGGCGTCCTCTGGTCTAACACCGTTTTGAGACGAGGCTCAAGAGAAAGCTGTCTTTGGTGTGGACCAATCAGTGTCAAGAATAATGCATATATTATCAGAGTGTGTTTTTTGTTTGCATTCTGACCACAAGCATTGTGGTTAATGCAGCCATGATCATTGTAAGATGAGATCAAGAGGAAGGAAGAAGAAGAGGTGGGGCGCTGTGGTGCGGTCGGACGCGGTGGCCCCGAGGAGCGGAGGGAGGGATGATGCTGGATGTAATTACCAGCGAGACGTCGTATTCAAATTGTAAATGTTGTGGATTTACTCTCCAACGCATCGGTGGGCTGAAGTAACGAATTGACGTGACAAACCAGACTGGCCGTGTCGGGTGGTGGAGGGTTGCCACACAACATTTATACTCATGCGATCAAACCCAAAAACCCACATTATGAAGCTAAAGCAGCCACTACAAAACATACAGCTCAGAGTAAACATCACTACGAGTTACTGGAGAATAATTACGTTTCTGTTCAAGATTTTTTATTGTTATTGCTAGTTAATAAACAGTTGTAGGATAGGATAGAGGCCATCCGCATAATATTTTTCCTTCACCCTTATCTCTGATATGGTTGTTTTACAAATTTCTTTCCCCAGGGTGGATACATGGGGTGGGGGGGGGGATGCTATGAAACTACATCACACCACTGCATCTGAGCATCCTCGATTCTACGATCCCTCCTGTACCACTGGTCAACGTGAAATGTATCCAGTGCCTAGACCTGACCATGGTTCCCAGGGGTCACTGCCGCAGCTTTAATCCCCAACAGCGACCCCTCGCTGCGTTGTCCAGCAGCCGCCACTCGCTGGTGCCCCCCTTGGATTCATTCTTCTTGCGGAGGCGTACGCGAGCGTGTGTGCGCCTGTTGGCTCAAGCGAGAGATTGAACGTGGACATGGGAAAGTGATCCACTTTTTTTGTTGTTCAGTGAGAAACTGGTTTTGCACATGCACTACTTACAGCAGCATGACTGGAGATTTTAAGAATGTGATTTATCACTTGCGTTAGATTTTTTTTTTTAACGGTATCCAATATTTCTTGACTGGAGGCCCCCCCCCCGCCCCCGAGTGCAGCTGAATGAATTGCCCCCCCCCTTGCCCCCCCCCCCTCCCTTGTTGATCTGGGAGAGAGAATAACTCGGCCATCATCGACTTGTCTGTGTTCACCGAGTTGAGCACTCGTTCGAGCACGGTCATCAAATAACAAACTCGATGCTCGTAATGAACACTGCCTTCAAAGAAAATGTATATTACTGGCAACGGCACTTCGTAGCAGACGTGTTTGTTTGAGCTATGAAAAAGAGCCGTTGCCTAAAACATCGCGGATTATATATTTTTTATATATTATATTTTTTATACATCTTGTTTTCTTTTAAGGCAGTTGAGTGCACCGCGTGTTTTTGCTGGTGTCCACTGTTAGTGCTCAATGGCCCCGTCTCGTGCACCTAAAAACTTACCTGCTCTCAACGTTACGGTTATGAGATGTGGACATGGCTTCTTAGGGCAATTGTTTTTTTGTTTTGTTCCCAGGCCAATTCTCAATGGAGTTATCATTGGGAAGGTTGTTGTAACGGTGACCGCAAAACAACGATTCCCCCATTTACAAACGAGATGTGTTTCTCCGCAATGCACGGTCGAGATTGAACGGCTGTGGAACGGTGTGAGTCGTCTCCGTGAGGTGGTGGTGGTGGGGGGGGATTCCTGGATGGTGCTTGCGTCTGTTTATTTTAAATGCGGGCATTTTTTTTTAGCGTGTCGGCAATTTCAAAAGTTACCTGCTGGTTTCTCATCGTTATCGTTAATTTTTTTGTTAAATGTGAATGCGTCGGTATTTTTAAAATACACACCTGTTCCGGTTTTTTATATATATGCATATGGAGCGTGTGCAATTTCATTGAGCACGCCAACCGGAGCGCCATACGGTTACAATATGAAATGTATAAATAAATTATTTGCGTGTGTTGTGAATTGGGGTACCGCTGTTTGACTGCATTGGTGTTCAACGACAACAACAAAAACACTAACATGGTGAAGCTGCATTGCTCGCAAACTCTGAGCGACACAGGCGATTCGAATTTTTTATTTGAGTAACCTTGCAATAATTATCGGTGTCCAAAACGTTACAATTCAAGTGTTCACGTTCCAGAGTAATTCACGCGATGATTTCGATCTCCTCGGGGTCCAGTGT